AAATTTAACTAAGTTTTATAGAGTTCTCTTAATTTCATCTATTTTCGTTGATTTAATGCAGCTACAAATCAAAGAAGTGATTCCATTATTTGATGAAACCTTACGAAAGCAATTTGCTCCATCAAACATTTTTTAGTGAATAACACACGAAAATATATTAATTATTTATTTGAGAATTCTATAGATTCTACGGTAACCCTGAGCATTTAATAAGCAATTACACATAATTTTATATGCATTCATAATATTTATTATATAAAAACGAACATATCAAAAATGTAAGGATCAATAGTTTTGTGTATATAGTGTGATTAATTTATTGTGTTGTCATACAATTTAGTTTGTCTCCATTTCCTTTAGTACAGCACCAGCAATAACTAATCTTTGTATTTCAGATGTTCCCTCATAAATTTCAGTTATTCGTGCATCGCGATAATGACGTTCAGCGGGCATGTCTGTAACATAACCCATACCACCTAAAACTTGTATACATTGATGAGAACAATAGGTAGCTGCTTCAGATGCAGCTAACTTAGCCATAGCCGCTTCTTTACTAAATGATTTTTTATTATCCTTTAACCAAGCAGCTCGCCAAGTAAGCAATCGAGCTGCTTCCACACGAAGTGCCATATCCGCTAGTTTTTGCTGTATTGCTTGTAATTTTGATATTGGCTTTCCAAATGCATTTCTTTTCTGGGCATATTCACATGCAACCTCTAAAGATGCCTGAGCAATTCCTAAAGCCTGTCCAGCAACGCCTATTCGACCAGCGTCGAGCGACTGCATAGCAATTTTAAACCCATATCCAGGATCTCCCAATAAATTTTCTTTTGGTATAACACAGTCTTCGAAAATTAATTGGCACGTGGACGACGCACGTATACCGAGTTTGTCTTCTTTTTTGCCTAATGAAAATCCTTTAATATTCTTTGGTACTATAAAGGCTGAAATGCCCTTATGCTTTAGCGATTTTTGTGTTGTCGCAAACACAATGCCTGCTTCTGCTTCGTATCCGCTTGTAATCCACATTTTTGTGCCATTTAACACATAATGATCACCGTGATCTGTAGCAACTGTAGACGCAGCACCGGCATCAGAACCGTTTCCAGGTTCAGATAAAGCAAAAAATCCTACTCTTTCACCTGCAGTGAATGGTGGAATATATGTTTGTTTCTGTTTTTCGTTACCATAAGCTAGTAACGGCCCAAGAAACAAAGAATTGTTTACTGACATAATTACACCCGATGACGCACAGCCACGCGATATTTCTTCCATTGCAATAGCATAAGCAAGATAATCTAAACCACTACCACCTAAAAACAAAATATTCTATTTAAAATCTTTCTAATATGCAAACTTCTTTACCTAATTTCTCTGGCATTGTTATGCCCATCACACCTAACTCGCCCATTTTGCGAATCTGGTGCGCTGGATACAAATGTTCTTTATCGTGTTTTCCGGCTAACGGTTTTAATTCTGCATCAGCAAAATCTTTCAATGTTTTCTGCAGCATTTGATGTGTTTCCGGCAGTGAAGCCAGACAAGCAATCTGTCTCTTTGCATTTACCCGTAAAGACGAAACACCTTATGAATTATGCATACGCAGAATTTTAAACAATAGCGTAAAGATCAAGAAAATTACATATATTAATGATTCCAAAGTTCATTTTATTATTAGTATCAAAATGTGCATGCGGAGTTATTTAGCAGCAATATATATATATATAAAATGATGTGAACCTTCACCATTGTGTGATTAACATAGCAATCGACAGAAGGTTAGGAGTAACTGGGATGGGAGAAAAAGCATAATAAAGACAAAACAATATAAAATATTTTTGTTGCTTCTTTGATTAATTCAACAAACAGTTATGAGTAATTAATTTTTCCAATACAAACCAATTTGTAGTGATACTTTTAATAACGAATTCATCGCGTTTATTTTTTTACTTATGGATAAAACAAAACAATTTACAATTTATAACAAACAACAAACCAAACCGCTCAACCGGTGGCAGCAGACAAAGTCAATAAGGTAACTAGTTCTAAAAAGTGAGAAAAAGTGTTTTAGTGTGAATAAATATAAAAAGTAATATCACATGATATGGTAGATAGTAGTATATATGAAATCACGTACTTACTAAAGAATTATATGATAATTATTAATTTGTTTTTGATAGTTCAAGATTATTGAACTATTTTAATATTTATTTACAATATTTTTTTTTTTATTTTATATATTTATTTAAATTTTTTGAGGTTAAATTAATTTGAGGCTGCTTACTTCAAATCTAAATTCCGTTTGTATTTCTAGACATCTGTGTCTCTGATAATAATGGGTTAAAGTTCAAAAATTGAAGCTTAAAAAAAAATATAAATCGAATTTAAATCCAAATAAATTTGAAATTAGAAGTTTACAGCTTTAGGGCCATGTTATGCAGAGTGTCTCGGGCACGGCATGAGTACAATTGTTGTTGTTTTCAATGCAAATTTTAAATTTGAGAATGAGAAAAAATACAATATGGCCGTTTAAACTCCGGCATGAGAGCCGGCGTATTTGTGCCCCGGCACTAAGGCAAAACAGTGTTGTTTAGTAATAGATTTCAAAATTTGCACCTTTTAGGAGCAAACTACTACAATTCTAATACGCTTTGGAGAAAAAATGGCTGTAAGCAACACAGCCCTTTTTTATAAATCGCTAATAATATAATTATTACACTTTCCTGTTTTAAAGAAAGGCGTAAATACTGATAAGTACTGTTCATAATTATTGTAAGATAATGTAATAATACAAAATTATTATTAAACAAATTTAAAAAAAATTTCACTCATTTCGGCATTTTCAAATTTATAATGTTTGTTTTGAATAGATTTTAACATTTCTTTTCCAATTCTTTCAAGATCTTCAAAAAATCTACAATATTAAGCCATTTACAGAGTTGCATAGAAAAATAATCACCTTTCATTATTTATTATTTTTGGTTAAAAGTTTTCAAATATATTTATGTATTGATTAAATATCAATATAAAATTTGCTCAATGGTAACACCTAATTTACCTAAATTTTATCTAAATTACCCTACTCGAAATTCTGGTAAATACCAACATTCGCTGCCATACCGACATAATCTACTGTTTTCTTAAATTTATCATCAATTTACTCGAACTCGCACATGGTCTTAATCTACTTTTAATCTTATAATGTAAACATTGGATTACAAATTAACGACCAAAAAATAAATAATTTATATAAAAAGAAAATATATGGCAATAAGTAATTTAATATTACATAAATATGAGTTATAAGAAATAACTATTTTACAATATATTTATAATATAACTTTTAATTAAAAACAGAAGATTAAATTAATAGGTCTTTTGCACGAGCTACTCATAGTAACTTTGAGTAACGCTGTGTATACAAAAGTGTATCCACCTGCAAATTTTTGAGTAAATGAGAGCATATAAGAGAGCCTAACATCCCTGTCGAAATTTGAAAATGCTACACAGATTTTACTCGTACAATTTATTTCAAGTAAAATTTATGTTGATATGTGAATCAGCTGTTTTGCTTTAAAATTAAATTTTTGTTTTTTTTATTTATTTATTTATTTTGTGTTCTCACCAGACTTTACACAAAACTGTTCCATGAACATCTGTGTAAAGATCGAAATTTGGCTCATTATTTGTGTTACGCTCTACGCTCTCAGTTTGAAGTTCACATGAGTTTCACTTAAGTTTTACTACGAGTAGCTAGTGGAACAGACCTAATATTCCTATTAATGCGAAATATGCACAGTATTTATTTTATACACGCTGTCATTTGTAAATAGTATTGTTGTGCAATATGTTAACCCGTACCTTCATTTCTACAGTGAGTATAAAACTTTTCTGGTATTTTTGTTTTGTTTGACGTCGTCGTGTATAGAAATTCAGTTTCATTTTTTTTCCGCAAATTTCTTGATTTTCTAACTTTAAAAGTGAATTTTCGCACAAAATTACCAAATATTTTATTTTATTTTTCTTTTAATAAATTAGTACCAACTACAACGAGTATTGTGTACATTTGCAAAATGGAGAAACTGACATATGATATTAAGTGAAAAATTATTAGTATTAAAATAAAAAAATTTAATACATTAAATGTATAAAAAGTGCAAGATACAAGATATAAGAAATTCAACCAATTTCTGTTTATATAAAATTAATTGTTGAATTTTATAATAAACACATTAAACTGCAGCAACAATAGAAAATCAGTGTAAATTAAAAGGTAAGCTTTTGCAGTATAGACTAGAGGTGGGGTATTGGGTTCATTGTAGGTGGTGGTATGTTAAATATCTTTCCCCCTTTACCGCCAGGTAAAATAAGGTATGGAAATGAAAGGTAATTGTGTATTTTGTAACTAAATTATTACTCATTTGGTATGCGAAGCACAATAGTGTTTTCAGTTTGAAGTCGAGTGTATTTAATATGATAAAATTTTTGACAAATAAAATAAAATCTGTTTTTACGATATTAAATTGAATAGAAGGAAGCACATTATTATTAAATTTAAAAACTGTTGGATACTATTTATATTTGTTTTATTTCCTGTCAGTTAATATCCTTTGTGTTTTACTTAACTGAATTTCCAATAGGAATCCAATTGGAATTTCAAGGAGCTTCAAAATTAGTACATAATTTGAACCATCTTAATTAAATATTGGCAAAAATCAAGTATTTACAAGTCTAAATATATGTACGTATATATGTGTATATGTATATATCGAAACGTTTATTTAAGTTAATCATTTGTCTGCTAGAGCGCTTTTATTTTTTACTTTTTTATCATTAAGAACACTTGACAATTACGTTTGTCGTTGCTATCTCTTGCTACACTTCTAACCTCTGCCCATTAGTTAATATTCTCTTTTTTTGTTGATATTTTGTTTTGATGAGACTGCATACGGTGTTTTTATTGTATGTTTTGTCTTCTCTGTTTCCATCTTGACATTTATAAAAAAACAACAAACTAAAAATATTTAAATGAGACAATTGTGTTATTAGTGAAAACTCGTCAATCAATGTAGTGAACATGCTGTAAATAACTTTTTTTACCTTAAATCGAAATACGTACTCGTCGTATAATGGAAAGATCATAGGCTTTGGTGTCTGTTGATACTTGAAAATTTGTGCATTACAGATTTAATTGCTGAAATAATAAATACGTTATGATTACTTTTACTTTATAAATTTTTGTACAATGTGGAGTTTACGATTATCTTCCTCGTACCGTACTTGTTTCGAATACTTGTAAATGAATGCTTTCATATATTTGTTATCAAATAAGTCACAGTATAATTTTACCTCAACAAAATTCTAATTCTACAAAACTAACAACATTGGATATACAGTCAAACTTCCATAACTCGAAGTACCATAAGGTTCGACTTATGGAGACTTCGAGCTAAAGAATTTTTTTAATTTTTTTTTTTTTTTAAAGAAACTAGAATTGCATTTTAAGATTTTTATTTATTTGTAATCAATCTCGATCTCTGGATCGAGATCTCTGGAGAATAAAAGTTAACGAATCGAAAAGTGTACACATAACCTTCACTCTACGACGAGATACCTGCCCTGCCCTTCGTATTAATGGAAAAGTAATACCACAATGCAATGACACCAAATACTTAGGAATGCACCTCGACCGAAGGCTTACGTGGAAAAAGCATATAGAAACCAAAGTAACCCAAATTAAACTCAAACAACAAGAACTAAACTGGCTGATAAATAAAAACTCTAAACTTAATCTCACCTATAAAGTGCAACTTTACAACACAATGATGAAACCCATATGGACCTACGGAATTGAACTCTGGAGCTCTGCTTCTCCATCAAACATTGAAAAACTTCAAAGAACTCAATCAAAAATCCTCCGGCAAATAGTCGGTGCCCCCTGGTATATAAAAAACGCAAATATTCATAGAGATCTTCGAATTGACACAGTCACAGATGTAATTACCAGCAACACACAAAAGTACAAAATCAAACTCAGGAACCATCAAAATCCACTTGCAAGCAACCTTACCCAAAGCGCTGGTACACAGCGACTCAAAAAAAACTACATAAACCCGGCTATTCAAGAATAACGCCCGACATGGTAACGAAATTGGACGAAGCTTTGGCTAAGGACAATTAATTATCTACTTTTCTTTTTTCAAATATTTTAATACAGCAATTAGCAGCGAAAATTTATTGTTAGTTCTAAGTTGATTTTTAGAAGATTCAATAAAAATCAAAGTAAAATTTAAAAAAAAAAAAAAAAAAAAAAAATTATAATCAAATACAGCACAAAAGTTACAATGAACTAAAATATTCAGAAATTAGGTGTTGGGATTTTAAAATTTTTTTTTTTTGTTTTCAGTAAAAAGAAATTCCAATTTATTCAAAGCCTTATAGTGATTATCGGATGAAGTATCATTCGTTTTAAAAAAAAAAATTCAGAATTTTGAATGAGTCTTCTACGTCATTCTGGGAAAGCTGATGAATCGGATCCATTAATTCAGAGCTATAACTGGCATTTGCACAAAGAAGCAACATAATAAAGAAAAAATTACACATTTGGTTTGGAAAAAGGGACTTCCCCTAACACCAAAATGGATTCATACTTAAAACAAAAATTCGAATTATAGAATACATTTTCCCATATTACTATTGTCACGTGACAATATTTTTATTCAAGTTATAGAGAAATTCGAGTTATGGAAGCTGAATTGTATGTGATTTGCTAAAACCATGTTGCCCTCTTTACTAACTTTACTAACTAGTTGCAAAACTATAATTGTTCCTCAGTAGTTGGAGTATGGCGTTTCTTTCCCGCCATAGTACATTTGAATATTATATTGTGAGGATATCACTATGTATCTTAAAGGAAATCATAAAATCTTAACAATTTTCTTCTTCTTAATCCAAGATTTGCTAGCATATTATCAGTATTGCTCTGTTAAAGTTAGTTCCGTTGTCTTCTGTGCAATAATTTAGAGACGCATTCTATACTTAAATCTATAGTTGTAATGTCAGTTTGAAGTTATCTGCTTTAAGACTTTGTGAATAAAAGCTTTCGTGATTTATACATACTCTTTTTTGCAAGTATCGATGATTAGTCCAAAAAGTACACTCCGACATTTCTTACTTTCAAATAAAATAATAATCTCATATACGTATTATATTATTTCACTTCCTTTCATATTTTTCGCTAAATGAACACATCTGTAGCGAATGTACCGTTTTATAAAACCAAATCTTATCTTGATTTATAGGGCTTTAAAACAGATGTCGACCTATTTTTGATGTGAAGTATGGTAACACTGAGTCATAAGTTCGTGTATAAGAATCGGATATTAATGTAACAGAGTTTTATTTATTACGATAATTATTATTAATATATCTTTATATTTACATATGACCAATTTTACAATTTTATAAATTATTAATATAAGATTTCATTACCTCAATATCACATAATCTGTTATAATTTATTATCAATTGTATTTTATTAGCTAATTAATAAATATTTTCTATATAACAGCTATAAATATCTAAAAAATGACTTATAATTAAATAACATTTAATATTCCCAAGAATTTGCAATTTTAATAAGAAACATATATGTATGTAGATATATGTATGTAGATAATTATCGCTACAACTATCATATTCATATTCTACTTGAAAATTTTAAATTAGTCCAAGAAATAAACATAAACATCGTTACCCTTTATCTCGTATATAATAAAATTCTTATCAATTTCGTCACTTTTGCACAGATTAGATAAATATATGTTTAATATTTACTACATAGCCATAGACAGTAGCTTTACATAGTAAAAGTGAAACAAAATCCAATGAAATCACAATTAAAAGTATAAATGACGTAGTCACAATTATAAACTAATCATTTAAATATACGGGTATGTGACCCTCATTAGTTGAGGAGTACTAATGAAAATATTACAAAAATTGAAAAATTTAGGGAAGATGCTGATAACTACAAGAAGAAATAGTCATGCAGCTGATTCATCTAAGTTTGTTGCTTAAAAATGTGATTTTATATTATTTTATATGAGTTGAAATAATGCATAAGAATTTATTGACAATGAGATTTATTTAAAAATTACTTTTACCATTGCGGCAGTCTTCAATAGATGAAAAAATAAAAGAACGATAATAGTTATCAACATCCTCAAAGTTTTTCTTTAGTATGTAGGAAATATATTTTCTTCTATTTTGATTACTCGGCTTTTTCTTGCATTTATTGATTGCTCAATTGAGTCTGTAAAGTCTAGAACTTATCCAATCTATTTAAAATAAAATGTTAAACAAATTAAACCCACATGGTATTACTAAACCAATAATATCATATCTTAAATTATTTGCCTGGTTACAAAAATTTTATATTATAGACCACAAAGTTTCCGATTTATTTGCGCATAAGTACCTCATAATACCATAATATAAATAGTACTTTTATTAGAGCACAAAGCCAATCATCAATAAAGGTTAGCTTTTTTGCAGCCTTGGAAAAGCATTGTTAATAGTTTTTATGGGATACAGGTATATCAAGATCTATTTGATTTTCTTTATGAACTGCATGCATAAAGAACAAGAGTTTTTCTCTCGAATTCTACGATTCTACAAAAAGTCACCTTATCTGAAATGAATTCTAACGATGCTGGTGGTGGTACTCAACGTCATGTTACGTAGCCGTAAAAGTTGTAGTAGTAGAGTCAAAATCAGCTTCCAAATCGACAAATAAATGGTGTGTGTCAATTTGTTTTTTTTGGTCTTCTCTAAAATTTAACGCACTGTTAATATATGACCTGTAGCAGATTCTCAAGGTGTGCAGCTACACTGATAAGGTAGATCATTTAATTGACAATTGCCTTTAATTTTTCATATAGCATGTTTGACAGAACGTTATATACCATGTATATGAAATTGATTCCGTGATAATTGATGCACTTCTTACGATCATTTTTTGTTGTGGAGTGGGCAAATCTGTTTCCAGTTTTTCGACCTTTAGCTTTTGCTGTGGTTGTTCATGCACTTTTTCATCGCATATGAACGTGTACGGATTTTGGCTGCAACAAGGTAATGACTCGAGCGCGTGTTGCCTCCATACGGAAACACTAGCCTTCCATTATTCACAATGTGATGTGATTAGAATCTCATTTTTTTCAGAGGATAGTCTTGTTACTTTATGTATATTGAGATACCTACTAGAATCTTGAGTATGTGAGAGTCTCATATAATCTTCAAATTTTTACTATAACAACAACCTTATTATATTCGCTACACCTATGAAATCCTAAACTTTTGAATAAAAAGCGAAAATATCTTTTAATTTTGAAGATAGGAGACCTGTATCTTTAGTCCTTCTACTTAAAAAATATACTCTGTCTTCAAAACTCACAGAATATAAACAACCGAAGTGACAACCATATAATATTGAACTTCGCACTATTTAAATTTTATGGAAAATGAAAATAATTTACCACGTTTAAAACGTCTTCGACAAATTTTAAATACTCCTGTCTGCTATGCAAAAATTGAACACGTTATTTCAATCTACTGGCGTATGATTGAAGAAAGAAGTACCCTGATAATTAGTGAACATAATTAGTGAGCATATAAAAAAAAAATTTTTTGTGAACGTGTTAATTTTTTTTAATATATCAGCAATTAATATAGATAACGTAACAAAAAGGGGATATGCTTACAAAAATCATAAATCTTATCAAACAACAATATACAATATAGAATGCAGGATCGTAAGAAAAACTCTCTCTCTCTCTTAGGATTTTCGAGTTGAAATGCGAGCTCAAGACGAAATTTTGAACAAAGCCCTTAAAACCTGCAACATTTAGACTTTGCCGATGACGTTGTTTTATGGAGCCATATATATAGCGAGATTAAAAATATGTTTGAACGAGTAAGCAATGCTGCTCAAAGTGCAGGACTTGAAATAATTGTAAGCAAGACCAAAACTATGTATGATGGTTATGGCCTGGCACAAAACGCTCTTCTGCAAACAAGCGGTGGGGAGATAGATGTGTAATTTCTTTTACATACTTGGGAAGTGTAGTGACAAACAAAACTGGAGCGGACGAGGACGTTACAATACGTACAAAAAAGGCGCAAGCAATGTTTGGGCAGTTGTGGAATACTAAAATACGAAAATGCCTATTTTTAATTCAAATGTAAAAGTATTTCTTTTTTATGACTGCGAAACATTCCTGCTGCACTAACATTTTTAATTAAATGTCTACGGAAAATCCTACAAATATGGTATCCCAATTACATATCAAATGCAGAACTTTTGCTCCAAACAAATCAGAAAGCAGCTGTAAACAAAACGGAATTGGGTATACTATCCGACGACCAAATAAACACATTCCCCGACAAGCTTTTACCTGGAACCCACAATACAACAGACGCCCAGGTGCACCGGCTTTAACTTGAAGAAGGACAATTGAAAGAGAAATGACAGAAGCACACTACACATGGAACGATATGTGTAGAAAAGCAAATAACAGAAGGCGGTTTAGGAGAATCGTTATGGCTCTATGAGCCACCAGAGGAAATGAACACTAAATAGAATATATCAACAAAATGCAAGTTTTTTTTATTGAAGTTATATGCAGGTAGGTACTTATATAAAATTGAAAGGCTGTGGACATCCGTGTCAACCAACTGCAGGTTGGTTTTGAAACTAAAACATAACAGGAAGCACTACCGCCATTATAATCAACCAACCATAACCAAAAGAATAAGAAGTCGTTGGAACTTAAAACTGTATGAACATCCTTTCTTAAAGAATATGCTTAAAGAATGTATAAAAATATAGTTTAAAGATAGTTGAAAAAGCTATACGCTGGTTTCATTACAAATAGAGGCATTTGATTAGAGATTATGTTTCATCACAATGGGTAGTTTATTTAACCTAATCATTTGTGAATAATATATCTGATACCACGATCACTTTTTCAATTATGTCACTGCATTAATGCCGAACCCCATTATGTATCTCAGAACTGCTTTATAAATGCTGTACTTTGCATGTTCATGTGATTGTATTTCATTTAATATCTTGAATTTCAACTGATTTGCGTACGGTTTATATTCGTCTTTTTCTGAGCTCATAAATTATGTTAAATGAATTAGTCGTAATAACTCTCTCTTACCCTACGAAAACACCCTTGCTCTCTTCTCGTTCTTCATATTGAATTGGATATTTCGGCACCATGGTGATATCCTTTAGACACAATATTTGAACTAAATAAGTAACTAAAGGTACTTACGATTAAAGTGAAGTGATAGAATATGCTAAAAAATTAAATGATTTTACTAATTAGTAAATAATAGTTAATTATTATTGATAAATAAACTATTTAATAATTTTATCTTATTTATATTGCGTAAATATGCAAATATCTATGTATATATATTTATAGTATATATGAATATAAAGAAATAGCTAAGTTTACTTAAACCCACTATCATGTAAGCTACTATTTCCATTTAGGGTATCTTGAAAACGCTTCCAGTCAACAACTCCCACAATTGTACGGAAACATCTCTTAATTTTAACTATTTTAATGTGATTTTTTTATATATATTTTTTAGTTATTTTTTTTAATTAATTGCTGATTTATTTTTAATGAGTCTTTAAGAATCTCCATATGGAGTTTACTTTTAATTACATTCTCCCTAATTTGCACAAATGGACATACCTCCGCAGAGATTTCGTTCACATAATTTAAAAATTTCTTCATTTTTGTTATTCACAACTAAAAATATACTTATAAAATATATTTTTAGGTTTATAAATGAAAATCGCTGGATATATCACTATTTAACATAGAAAATATTTATTTCTATAATTAGTTTTGTAAATACATAAGTTCTATGCAAATGTAGAAAAAAATGTTTATATTGTAGCATGTGACACCGTATTGATGGATCGCTATAATCGGCATAGACAAGAAGTCCGTCAATGTATTATATTCACTAAAGAGATATATCAAAGGAGTTATAATTAAAAAAAAATTTTTGTTAAAGAATAATTTTTGAATAAATACTGGTATATATAATGTACAGTAATATATTAGATCTTATGTTTCTGCTTTCAGTTGATAGTATATGTTATATATATTTGTTATGCCCGTCTCTTCTCTAAAACAGATTGAACATGGAAATTTACTTTTATTTCAAATCGGCGACCTAAGATAATCTATGATGAATCACTGCTTATTAAAGACTTTTACATACAACTTTTATACCACCAAACATTATACTGCAGTATATATTAAGACTTAGTGATCTTTGCTTGCCAGAAACTTGTCAGGTATTTCTATCATTTTCCTTGCAGGCATCATAGTTTGTGCACTTCTAGAACCAATTTTAGAAATTAAATGACAATTTTGCTTTATCGTCAGTTATGTAGAATAAGATAGATCCATTGAGATACCACAACTTTATTTTGACCAAATTTGGATTTTTAATTAAAATTACGCTATGTATGTGGGTAAGCAGATTTACACTTCAAAAAAAGGAATTGAAATAAGTGTATATTTTAATACGATTTTGCAGGACTTTAATCTCTCCAACCCTTTCCCCTGTCTAAGTGCTTTTATAAAACAGAGTATATCTTTTATGCTTATGTTGATAATTAAGGAAATCAGCAACAGTTGATAATGCTATGTAGTGATAACACGAACGAAAAGCAAAAAGATGCTTGTTGTTTCTGACTAATAACTTCCACAATAATCATTGGACACAGTCTTGTGATAAGTATTTTATGTTCGATATTACAGACAATTTTTCTGGTATTCAAAGAATATAAACATAAACAAAAATTGAATTGGTTTAGTTTTGAGTAAGTCACTAATTGCAAATAGTTTACATTTCTAAGTAATGATATACATTTTTTATATCTTCTGTGTTTTTTAGTACGCATTAAATATAACACAAAATATACATATATATTATCAGTTAGAAATATATTAACAATAAATCTTATTATTAATTTTGTTTAAGAATTAATGTCTTCACTGTATTATGATTTTTATTTTCTTTTTTCAAATGCTTAAATGAATAAATAAATAAATACGTAACGCATTTAGTAACTTATTAATTGCGCAAAAATAGAAATCAATATTAACGTAAAAATGTTTGCTAGATACCCTACTTTCGGTGCAATTATTTTCAAGAATATAATTTTGTAAGAAGAGTTGAAAAACTGACTACAACAATAGTAGACCATTTAAAAAAAATCGAATGTAATATGAATCCTTTTCACCTTATTAGGTTGGTGGCATATATTAACAGAGTGCAGAATATACTTTAAGTTCAAGTCAGATTGTTCTATACAGTCGTTTTAATTCCCGATAAAAAAAAGGCCTGTATTAAGAATCAAAACGTAATTGATGCGTTCTAGACCCCGATTAACTAATAATATCATCACTATGTTTTGATATTATATTTTTCTTATTAGTCTTATTAAAATTTTATAACATATAGAATAAAACTATTTATTTGATTGCAGTAACATAATAAATATATTTGCTTTCAGTAACAAATGGCAACTTCACCGCGTTCTGTGGACACGATGTCCGTTTGTTCAACGGTATCAAGTTGTCCAGATAGACATGGTTTCTATGGAGGTTTTCAGCGCACAGAAAAACCCAAAGAGCCTCTATCCAGAGCACAAATTATAGCTCGTGAAAAGAAATGGTTATACATGACTGAAAACTGGTCCATATATATGTCGAAAAATTATAAAAAGGTAAAAAAAAATCATGTTTATATTGTATTACATTTTAAAATGATAGTATATATATATTATTATATAATTTTACAGATACGAGATCGTTGTCGAAAAGGTATACCAAAATCAGTACGACCACGTGCTTGGTTTTATCTATCTGGTGCTTACTTATTGAAAAAGAAAAATCCTTACGTCTACAAAGAGTTATTAGAAAAACAAGGCAATCCACATGTAATTGAAGAGATTAAAAAGGACAAACATCGGCAATTTCCATTTCATGAAATGTTCTTAGATGAGGATAAAGTTGGTCAGATCGAATTGTTTAATATATTAAAAGCTTATTCGATCTATAATCCAAAAGTTGGTTTTTGTCAGGCACAAGCACCAATTGCAGCTTTTTTATTAATGCATCTACCAGCTGAAGATGCTTTTTGGGTCTTTGTCAGTGTATGTGATGTGTAAGTAGTTAAAAATTTTAAATATATATATTTTTAATTTCATTAGTCTTAAGTGTATTCAATATTGAACTAAGCTATATAAACAACTTCCGTAGTACTGAGTTTTATACTCGTCTGTTCTTCTACTATACAAGTAAATAACATAAGATCCTTTCTATGGTTTGTTGTAAAATTTAATAAATACACCCGCATGATTATGAGATATCCAAATTTCGTGATGTTATTGAAACTACCCATAATTTCTATTTAAAATATATTCAACTGAATGGATTAATCATTTTTAGGGAAAACAAGAAACACTTGAGTTTCCTAGATAATTAGAAAACTAGGCTTTTCATAAAACCAGAATTAATTCTAATTTAAAAAAAAATTTAATATACATATATAGATCTCTATGTATCTCAAGTAGCTATTTGGGTACACTACTTTCATTAACTTTCTATAAAGTATGGAAGTGACCCCTCCATCACTTTGAAATTCATTCTATTGGAAGTTATATGATTGATATATATATTCTACATACAGTGTGAGGGGGTGAGTCCGGCGATAATTAGTATTTTATATTTGCTTATATTTTTATTCCAAACTTCTAATGCTCTAAAAATATGTCACGGTTAAAAAGAGTATTAGAAAAATAATCACCAAATGAAAAATAATTAGATGATGTGAATTTATCAATATACAATATCAGATATTAACAATGTCTAAAGTAATATAATTTTTCATTTTAGTTATTTGGAAGATTATTTTATTCCTGGTCTGGAGGTATTACAAAACGATGCAGCTATACTCGAGGGATTATTAAAAAAGACCTCACCACCTGTTTACAGACATCTGCAAAAGCACAAAGTTGAGCCATTGTTATATATGACGGACTGGTTTTTGTGTGCCATGACACGCACGTTGCCATGGGAAACGTTACTTCGTGTATGGGATTGCTTTCTAGCGGAAGGTATTCGTGTCATATTTAAGGTGGCCCTTGTCATTATCGGTGCAACACTAAATCGACATAAGGTGCGAAAACAGTGCAATGGACTATGTGAAACTCTGGAAGTATTACGTTCACCACCAGAGGAAGTGCTAGAGGAAGAGTTTCTGATCGAAAATATACAACGTTTAAATTTACGCGTTGAAGATTTTCAAATAGAACATACTAGACAGAAGGCGCGTCGTGCTAAATTAAAAGCGCTACAAGAAAACAATGGCAGCCTAGCAACAACAAGTAGCAGCAGCAGCGGTCATAGAGGTCAATAGTAGTATGTTTGCTACTATTGGTAGTATATTACTATAAAATGCTACTAGTTTAAACATTTTTATAAGTAAAGTTAACACAAAGCGCAAAATTGATTGTATGTCGGATTTTGTTTTCAACACAAACCTAAACTTTAATGTACTGATAAAAGCAAAGGAACTTGCGATATGCAACGAAAACTCAAATCTGATATTTTATTATATGTACAATATTTGGAAAATTTTATATATTTTAAAAATCAAGCAATGTATTTAAAGAGAATTGATTAATGTACTCTGTAATGAATGAAAATGATTGCTTCCAACATGTGAACATATTTTATATTGTGGACATTTTGAGTAATATTTATAAACAAACACACATTACACACTTTAAGATATTTAAGTCACTAAACTAAAGATAGATAAATCGAATACATATAAACATCTTCTAAAATAGTTTTTTTTCCTTTTCACGAAGCACAATAGTTTTTATAAAGGAATTATGTATGTCATAAAAATCTTTTCTCAAAGATTCTCATAATAATGTTTTGATTTTAATGATTTTTTCACGTATTTATATATATGCTAAACCAATATCATTCCAAGGAAACGATTCAAAATTTTACTCAAATTATACGAAATTATTATGTACGCAGATCTTTAAAGCTACTTCTACATCTATATAAAAATCTATAAAAAATATTTACTAAATAGTGTAACTATTATTTGCAATTATTAATTGTGCAATTTGTTTTCTTTATAAAAGATTCAATTATGTATTATTTTTTTATGTTATTAACTTCACAGTTTATACAAAGTCTAAGAAACTGTAAGCTTAAATTTTATTATTTATTTGAAAAGAAAAATTAGTTTTTAAGTTATTGTAGCTACTTATTTAGCAACATACGAGCAAAGTATTGAGCTTTTAGCATTATAAAAGCCAGTAGATATATAAAGAAAAAAAAGTATTTTTGTTGTTTTTTACTTTAAAAAAATTTTTGTAGTGAAATTTTAAAGTATATTTTTAAAGAAAAGCAGAAATGGAAATAATTTGTTGGTTCACTCTATGCTTTTTAATACGGGTTAGATAATCCCTGGCTCACTGTCAGTGGTAACAACAAATCAATTGTTTCGTTTTTATTTCTGTTTAGAAAATATTTATTTAATATTATACACAAAGTTCTCACAAAATATTTGTACAACATTAAACTAATAAACATGCAATATAAATTACTAGTAGAATAATTTTTTAAAGTTATACAACCTAAATTACACTGTAAAATAAAACATTTTTAACAAAATATTGGAATTTAAAAAAATTATACATATTGTGTTTTTAATAAATTTATAACGCTTCTGCACTGGCACTGCCCGCAACTCGTCAAAAGTCATCTATTTACTATTGTTTTCCACTTTCTGAAATCTTCAATGTTTGCATAATAACCTAATACGTTAGTTATTATACGGCATCATTGTAAGTACAATGTTAACAAAATATCAAGTTTAACAATCGTTCTCTTTATAGTAAAATGTTTAAAATATCTTGCAAGTTATTCTTGAAGCAAGAGGAAAGTATTCTCTTATATACTTTTATACGTTCGATCAAGTAATGTAATCTTATAAAGAAATAAAAAAATATACCGCGGAAGAGATCACTTAATTTACAAAATACTCATCACTATTATTAAAATAATAAAAAATATATATAGAACATGGAAGATAAGAACCAATCTATATATATACGCCTGGTTGTCTAATTGCCGATTTTTTTATTAGTTACCTATAAAAAAAACTTCATTTTTTGCAATAAAAGAAATATTTATGGTAGATAGGGTTTTTGGCAATGTGCCGTGAAAAATCTGCCAACTACAATACAATAATATATTCAATTAATTGATTAAGACTGAATTATCCTAGATTTGAAAAAAAATTTACCATCAAGTTGATCAAATGATTTTAGTTTGGGTATAGATGTGAATATAAAGTAAATATTTCTTTTCCTCTAATGGTTTCACTTAAAATTTATATATATAATGATATATAATAAAAAAGACTCCAATATAGATTAGAACAAAACAAGAAATTAAGCAATAAAAAATTAATATTTCATATATATATAATTTATTTAAAATAAATTTATAATTACATTTTTAATAGTTTTCTTAACAATATATAAAATACCTATTTAAAGGTATTAAACAGTTTACTCATCACTTGCTGTAGGTTCTTTAGTTAAGTCTGCAAAGAAATCTGATGCATTTGAAAATTTTGATGAAGGCAAATTGTGACGTTTTTCTTTAGCTTTATTATGTTTTTCATTATACTTGATATCACCGAAATCTTCAAAGTATTTAACATTCCAAAACCGTACATCATTGTTATGTGAAGCTGATGCAATTAATTCGCCATCTGCACTTATATCTAAACATTCTACGGGCATTGAGTGTTGTCCGACAATACCCAGATTACGGAAGGGTGCAACGTGACACGCACGTATGTGGCCGTCTTCGTTTGCAATGCAACTAATGCGATCTGTTATTGGTATCATTGCATTAATGGGTGTATCTATGCCAGGAAACATATCACTATGATACCCAAATTGTCCCCAATTATATGTGTAAAGGCGACCTTTCGAAGTGCCTACTACTAATTTTGAGTCACCACGATATGTAGCCATACAAGTAAACTCCTCTTGATATTCTTCGGATTGAACATAAAGTTTTCTAAAAAAAAAATTTTATTACATACTGAATTTATTTCATTTCTATTAAATAATAATTAAGCAATAAATTAAGTAAATGACGCTAAGTGACTCAGAACACCTGTAAGCAAATAGGCGCTACAATTGGTATTGCCTCACTCTATAGAGTTTGAACTTTGTAACATAATTTTAGTAGGAACCTCTGTAATAGAAAGAATGCTCCTTTAGCTTTTAAAACGTTTTAGTACGAAAACTTCGTAGAATTTGAACGAATCATGGTGTCAAGGCGATGTTTATAATTAGCTAGTTAAAATGATTATTGGAAATTGGTTAGATAGACTTCTTTTCTTTTTCATAGTTTGGATCTCTTCGCGATTCTTTACAAAATCGAAATTTTTTTTATGCATATCCCTAAACAAAATAATTTAGAACTGTAAAAGCAGAAACATTGGTATAGCAGATTTCTTTTTGTCATCGCAAATCTTAATAATTCTGAAACAATTACATTTAGCTTTCAAGTATGAATTTCTGATAGACAGTGTGCAGTTATTAGTTCTTCCCATATACGAATATGATGTTCAATGGCTATATTTTAAGAATGTAATCTTACTTTTTCTTTGCTTACCTAGCGCCTATGTTAATTGTTGTTAAATATCCATCACCACTTGTGAATAGCAACAATTTTTTTGCATCGTTTGTAAGAATTTGAGTAATGTAGTCCTCAACCTCTTTGAGTGCGAAAATTGCGTTTTTTGTACGTAAATCCCACAATTTAACAGTGCCACTATCATCGCCAGTTGCGAATAAATTTTCATCAAGCACATGTAATTTATTAATTGCATCATCATGTGCACTTTCGTAAAACTTCTTTAAGCGTTCTGTCTGCATATCTGTTATCATAATTGATTTATCTTTGGAACAGGTTATTAAATTTCTACCATCCTCTGAGAATTCAACATCACGACATGACTTAGCATGCACCTCTATTGTTCGTAAAAGTGTATTTTTCTCATTTCCTAATTTGTATAGACAAACATCACCAGTGACGGTTGCTATAGCAATAATGTTTTGTTCTGGATGAAAACATACATCTGTTACACAGTCTTCTAAATTAATATCTGGTGGTGTAGTACGTGGGTTCTTTATAGCTGCAATTATTGCCTTTACTGTCTCGTCATCTTCATCACTTCCGTTTAATTCTAACACAGCCGATTTTTGGGCATCACCACTACTGGAAGCTCTGGGATTAGAGTCATCATTTTCATTTGCGTTAACAGATTTAGTTGTAGTTTTTGACATCTCGATTTCTTCATCACTATCATCCATTAAAGAATCTGTACTTGAGATTGAAATGGAACTGTAACCATCGCCCTCAAAATCTGGTTCTTCAAATTCATCAGAATCGTTCAGATCTGGAATTATTGGTATAGGAAAGTCACCATTTTCTTCGTTGTCACCTAATTCATCCATATCTTCGTCGTCTGATAATATATCACTTGGATTTCGAAAGTTTTCACCGCTAATAAACAAATAATAAAATATATATTAGTTTATGTATAGAAAATATTAAAAGTAAGTTAACTTACAGCTTCATCCCTTTCTAAAATTATATTAATGAATTGTTTTATCGCATCAGAACAATTTCAGCAAGTGATGAATTTGTTCCAATCTGCACGCTGCGAATAAAACAACATTAAAATAAGGTGACCAGATTATTTTGTAAACCGAACACAATGTACAGTATGGAAAAAATATAAAAGTAAATAAGAAATTATAAATAATACTACATTTACATTGTGAGATTAAGAGAACGAGACTAATACTGCGTTTACATTGTGAGATTAAAAGTTAGTTCAAACAATAGTCGAGATTAAAATACTAATCTAGTTGTTTAATCTCTGATATCCCATACAAAAGTTAATCTCGTTTTGGTCGAGATTAATTTTTAATCTCCTTAGAAATGGTGACTATTTTTCTGTGTAACTGTGCATATGTTCTAACATCGTAAATTTTTTTACAATCCTAGAAAAATTGAAAGAGAAATGTTAAAATTGATTCAAAACAAACATTAAAAATTTGAAAATGCCAAAGTGAGAAAAATTTTTATTAAATTTGTTTAATAGTTTTGTACATAATTATAACTAAAATTTGTTACAAATTTTGTTATAAAACAATTTATTAAATTTATATTATAATTATTTTGTATATATTTTTAATTAAACGTTTTATTTACAGAAATTTGTTAAACACACAAAGCAAAACATAACGTCAAAATTAATCTTCAATGTATAATGTAAACGCTGTAGATAAAAAATTAAATTACCTTAATCTCGTTCTCTTAATCTCAGAATATAAATGTAGTATTAGAGTATATCCGATGTATATTGCTTAATTTAAAAATTAAAGAATGGACAAATTGCTAATTATTTTTTATGCTTTTTCTCCTTTAATAATCATTATTTAAGGATTTTTTTTAGAAAATCACCACAGCTGGAAACTTATAATTATAATTTAATTTCAGGGAGTTTTTAAATAACAAAGAAAAAATATAGGACAAACACAAAAATTTATTTTAATTTTATTGAAGTTTGGCTGACCATACAACGCTGTTTCGAGTATTGCCAAGTACTCTTCATCAGTGGTCTTTGGAATAATCGAATTTTTATTTAATTAGTATATAATTTGTTTGGACTTAAAATAAATTTTTGTGTTTGTCCTTTATTTCTTTCTTTGTTATTCAAAAACCCCTCTAAATTTTAATAAAGCTTCTTTGTCACCATACAAAGAAAGTCTAGCTAGCTTTACAGCAACACGAATACTTTATTCAATTTAATTTAAGTATAAAATTATCTTGTGCATTTTTAGCAATTCTTAATTGTATTATTTGTATTTTTGAATGTCCTTATGTTATATTCTACATACATACTTTTCTTGAGGGTTTCTTGAGTCAAAACCTACTCAATCAATATATTTTTTGAAAATTTTTTGAGAGTTGCGATATCAGTTCCCGAAACTTTTTCGACGTTTTCAAAGATGGATTTAATTAAATGCAGAACAAAGCTGCCAAGAACAGCGTCGAATATCAGTCAGAATATCAACTCCTTATGTACCTTCTGCTCAAAAAGTATCTCCTGATTTTGTTGTTTGTTAACTACTCCTTAAGTAATAGACCGTTACAAACATTTTTTTTTTGTTATGTTGGTACGCCCTTTCTTGACATATGGTACAAATTTGAGCGCCATCCGTCAATTAGTTTGTTTACAGCAGCTGTTAATGTGAGACTACCTCAAGTGCGTTTAGTGATTTTTACTATGGAAAATTCTTGTTGTACTCAATTTTTTGACTAAACACGGCACCACTGTCATCGCTCACGCACCAAATTCGCCAGATCTGGATCCGTGTGACTTTTTTCTGTTCCCGAAACTCAAATTGCCCCTTCGTGGTAAGCGTTTTGAGTCGATTGAATCGGTAAAAGAGAATTCGCTGAAGGAACTAAAAGTCATACCTTCACGGGCCTACGAAAAGTGTATGAAAGATTGGGTTAAGCGTTGGCATATGTGTATCGCTTCAGAAGAAGCATATTTTGAAGGAGATAAAATAAATTTGGAATAAAATTTAAATTTGTGTGTTTTATTTACAAAATCCGAGTACTTTTTGAGCAGCAGGTATGCCTGTGTATAAGACAATGATTATAAGGGTTATATAAGGGACATAGTTTGTTGTTTTCGGTCAACTAGTTTTAATAGATGATTTTACAGGTGGCCAGATTTGTTTCGTTTTGACGCAAATATAATAATACCACGAAATTTGTGCGTGTTTGACAAAACAGGATTTTCTGGCAGTGATTTATATAAATACACCTAAAATAACATAATTAATATTTAGCTCGATTCAAACTCATTTCCTATGCAGTTGCCATGATAGTGACGATGTGATTTTATCCAGACAATTGATAATTATTTACGTTTACCAATCTCAGAAACACAAACAGGATAATACGACTTTAAATAAACTACATGGCGAGTCTAAAGCCATAACTACTTCTTGTTAAGAATCGGATTAATGTCAGTTCAATAGTAACTTTAAATGCTCTAACACAAAAATAACAATTTTTTTTAATTCCCTTAAAAAGTGTTCCTCTTACCTCACTAAACTAATAATGAACATTATCTTAGGCCCATGTTATAAAGTGTCACGGGCATGACAAATTTAAAATTGTTGTTACTTTTAATGCAAATTTAAAAATTGAGAATAAGAGAAAAAACAAATGTCGGTTTAACTTTGGCCGAAGCTATCTGTACCTCGCTGTGTTGTGTTTTTTTGTATATTTCCTTTAAAATTCAAGCACAATCAAATAGTACCAAAGTAATAGTAAAAATACGAAACTGAAAAAATAATGTGACATTCTGCATAACATGCATTTTCGTCACAGCCCGAAAGAGCGAATTTTGATACACCCGTGACAGTACATAACATGGGTCTTAGTTTTTCTAACTTTTGGTGTATTCAACACTTTTCACTGATTTTTGGATTAAATTCATATTTTAACGCCCAACCAATCACCGCATATGTTAATTTGGCACGTATGATTGTCGGCTTTTCTTTTTTACTTTTTGTGGACGTAAAAGCCATACAAAAATATTGTAACGGTAACAGTCCATAATCTAGAAAATCATTGGATTCAGTCAAAAAGGGAGCAGTTATTCAAATATTTTTTTTATTATTTATAAAAAGCCCTATTTGCTTTTGGAACGCATCTGGTATATCACGAATTAATGAAAAAGTGGTTATTCTATTAAAACAACGAAAAGGGCAAAATAATTGAAATACTACTCTTAATTCTTATTATTATAACAAACTGAAAGCTTTATAAAAAATTTCTTATAGTACCCCTTGTAATTATAGACTTTCGAGCTAACGAAAGAAAGACGGAGCTAACGAACATATATATAACTATTTAAAGGTATTAATTGAACGTTCAAGTGTTCTCATATAATTTATTGCCTGGCAATTCAGTATATTCCTAATTACCCTATCGAATCTTCTTCACCAACGCTCGATGAAAAAGCATCGCTCAAAAAGATCAGCGTCATTTGCATCACGTTTAACTGAAATTGGCGGTTAAGTAGGTTCAATTTTGTTTTTGATAGGTAGTATCACCAACCCATGCATCAAATTGTTGTATTTTATCGATAATTTAACAATCTGTCTAAGCATTTGCACTTATTATAACAAATGAAAACAAGACAATTGATTTTAAAAAAATTTATATCATAACATAAAAATAGTTCAAACATCCGCTTGTGGAGTTATATAAAATTGTACATACATTTCTGCTCGGTCTTCTGATTGCATCATAAAATGCATTTCAAGCAAACCACTGGAATCTGTTTTGATAGCTACTTTACTTGCAACGGACAAAGCTTTCAGTGTAAGTCGAATTTGAGAGCTGTTGTAACGAGCAGTTGTTGTTTCACGACAGTTAAATAACATCATCATATCACTTGTTTTTGCAACTTCTATACTAGCTTCAGATTGCATTACCCCCAAAGTATCAATTTTGAAATGTGGTCGTCTAGGTGATAAGGTTATTTCTATTTCTTCAGCGGCTTTATCCAGCTCATGAAAAATGTTTGATAAATCTGGTCCGCGTATAAAAATAACATTAAGACTAGGATTATCTTCATCTAATGAAAAATCGATGGGCTCCTCGTAGTTTGTCGTTTTAATTGCGCATTCCGTTGTGATATTATCTTCATCATGTGGTTCAAGCACTATTATGAGTGGAGCTGAGTGACCTTTGTAAAACATCTTTATACTACAATTAGTGGCAGAAAATATACCCAAACACTCTGATATAACATTCATATTTATGCTGAAATTTACAATGCCATCGACGTGATATTCTGAAAAACACGACATGGTAATAAACAAACTGGCTTGTATCGTTTTGCCATTTTCTACAGTAACTCGAAAACCATCATCAGTAATTTGAAACGATCCGTACTGCAAATATAATCCGTACTCAATACAAAATTTTAATATATTATTTTTCTAACTGATACTAACCTCTCCAAAATTTAAAGCTTTAATACCTGAATAAAATGTTTTGATGTTATCCAAACGTCCGACAAATTTAAAATTAGAGTATTGTGATTGCGTGAGCATGTTCAAATTTTTTAGAATTCCTTTTTCATAAAGAATTTTTGAGTGTTGCATTAAAAATCGTCAATACACATTTGCTGCAACAAAAAATTAAACTTATTGGCCACTAAAATCTCTTTACGTACACAAGAGGAGCATAGCAGTTTGGCTAGCCGCAATGCTAGAACGTGCTCACAAGTGTAAGCCTGGTCTGTGTTTTGTGAATTGTCAAAAGAATATGTTGGCGAAATATTCAATATATTGACTTTTAGCACATTGCTTGCAAAATATTTACAAGGGCAAAAATTTATGCCTGAAAACAATTTATAAACTTGAGCCGAATTATTTCTATCCGCGATTTCCACAATTTCCCTTATTTCTGATTCCGTAGAGTATATCAATATAATTTGTTCGTCGAGGATTCCCAAAGCACGCTTCAAAGTGTCACCAAAAACAGCATTCAACTCAACAAATATTTGTTTTTGTGTAGCAGCTGTGTGTGTATATTTCAATAAAATGAATAAATATAAGCAGAAATGATTTGGTCTTACGAGTAAACTTTTGTTCCTGCCGTAACTTTTCGTACTTCTCAAATATTTTTTCTATAAGTTGCGGTAAAAGCATGCCAATGAATTTTTATATAAATAATCGGACGAACCAAATCGTAAACAAACATTTTCAGAAGCCGTGTTTTTAAACAAAATACTTACTACGTTTTTGACATTTCACACAGCAGCAGTAATGCAATAATGTGTACTAAATAATAAAATTTCAATTTCAGTTTGAGTTTTACTATTCATTATGGCCGTGTGCAAGTTCGAGTTAATTGAGTGAAATAGTAAATTTTGTCGGTATGGCAGCGAATATTGCTATTTACCAGAATTTCGAATAGGATAAATTAGATAAAAATTGTGAATTTTAAAAGATGTTTATTAAATAAATAAATCAATTTGAAAAATTGAAAACAGTAAATAAATAAATAAATGTGTATATAAGTGCAGCGCAAAAATTCCCTATTAAATTTAAATTTACTTTACCTCAATTTACTCGAACTAGCACACAGCCTGAAATAGTTACATGGTCCATGCATGAATACATGAAGAAATTTTCTTCTCTAATCTGCAGTTATTTAAAATATAATAATTGATTTAAATTGATTATGACACATTATAATATATTTTTTGTTGTCTGGTAGGTAGAAATCATTAAAAGCCACAGCGTGAGGCTTGAACCCATTAAAACCACCTCTTAGGAATGCAAAATAAACAAATTTCAGCTATTGAAAAGCCCATGCCAGTCATCAAGGGAAATACAGTTATACATTATAATACATAAGGCTTAGTACTTAGATAACAAATATATCTTAACCAAATTGGAATATAAGTGAGTGGTGAAAGTGAGGCTATTCTTGCTAAATAGTAATTACTGACTAAGGATAGACTGTATACAAGGAGTTGATATAGCCACGATAGTAGAGCAGAAACTATAATATATTAAGCAAATTTTATTTTTAAAGTTTATAATTTCAAATAAATAAAATAAACAAAACCAATTTCTGACCTTTTTTGAATTCATTTGAATAAATGATTTAATTATAAATGAAGGTCTGTTAATAAATACCTATTATCAAAGTCTGATTTTGTTCAGTATTTAATTCTTGCAAAATGTAAATGAAGCATTTTCATAACAATAAATTTGTTATTTCAATAACTTTACAACACCAATTGAAAGGTATTTATTGACATTCGTATTACGATTAATGCCATTTGTTTGAATAAATGCCAAATAAACGAACTATATGTTGTTGAATTATCTAATTTAATACTTATTTACTCACTTAACTGGCCATATTAACTAATTTTCCAGGACTCGAACTCACGTAGCACTCGCCTTCAGGAGCTTTTGCCTAGTGTGAGCCTCTCCAATTTTGTACATTGCGGTGTACTCTACTGAAAACACGGCCTTCCTTCAACAGAAGCTACAAGCTGCCTTTTTCACTTGAGAATTGTAATACTACAATTACATTGTGAGATTAAGAGAACGAGATTAAGTTAATCTGCATTTTTAATCTCCATCGTTTACATAATACACTGAAGATAATTTTTGACGTTTATCTTATTGTGTTATGTTTCGTATGTTTCATGAATTTCTGTAAATAAAGCATTTAATTACAATTTTATAATATAATATATTACAAAAATTTTAATATAAATTTAATTAATAGTTTTATAACAATAATTTAACAAAATTTAGTTATAATTATGTACAAAGCTATTATTAAACAAATTTATTAAAATGTGGGTAACTTTGGCATTTTCAAAGTTTGTTTTGATTTTGACATATCTTTTTCAATTTTTCTAGCATCGTAAAAAAAATTTACGATATTAAGCTATTTGCAGAGTTGCACAGAAAAATAATCATCATTTTTAAGGAGATTAAAAATTAATCTCGACCAAAACGAGATCAACTTTTGTATGGGAAATCTGTGATTAAACAATTATATAAGTACTTTAATCTCAATGATTGCTTTAACCTACTTTTAATCTTACAATGTAAACGCATCTATTCTCATGGATATTAATTGTAATAAATTTATGATTATGAAAGTAACTGCATTCAATTTATTACAATTTATATCAAAATAAATGTTATTACAATATGTTAAATTTATAACATTATATATTTATTATAATTCTATTTTCACCTCAAATGTCTTAAAAAAAAAATAGTGTTCGCTGTTATAAGCCACATATGAATAAAATCATATATCTTCTATCAGAAAAACATTTTAAATTCAAATTTATTAAATCAGATGTAACATTTACATTTCTATTTTCTAGTTTTAATCTAATTATAAATAGATAAAATTTTAAATTTTATAAATTTTTATATATATTTCATATTTCAGTATAGCTGGAATTTTCAATACACTATGTGGAAGATTATAAAAGATCAGCAGTTGCTAAAGTTTATTTCATCTAATTTTGAAAATATAATTCAAATAAATTTTGTACAGTACAAAATGACAATTTGCTCTCATCAATTCTCTTGGCTTACTAGCTGTTGAGTAAAACAAAATATAAAATAGTAAAATTTAAGTACTCATACAACGTACGGGAATAGGTCTATGTACAGTATCATATGTTTCATATTTTATACATTTTTTTAATTATACTGAAACACTTACATATGTTGATTTGCAATATTGTGAAAAGGTTGTGAAGGGCGGGAAATTTTGCAATTAAAACTACTACAAATATATATCATGAATAAACGACAACTTTCTTTAAGTAGTTTTATTAATAGTAATAAAGAGCAAAATAAAGGTAAATAATCTGTTATCAATAATGTACTCTATTTAATTTATATTTTCTCTATTTGTGTAGATGAACACACATCACAAAATGTCAATGCCAGCCAGAAAAGCGTTAAACAAACTAGTTTATTATCTTTTATTAATGAAGAAAAGCAAAAAAAGCGTAAGTAAAAATAAATTCGAATTTTTTTAACATTTAAAAGTAATATTTTGTATTTAAACAGAAAACACATCCGATGTTCGTAGTTCTAGCTTGAGTCAAAAAAGCTGCACTCGAATGCCGCAAACAAGGAAACGAAATGTCTTCAATCCAATTTATATTGATTCTTCTTCAGATGAAGACGATTATGCACTGACTCAAAAATTTTCCACACAATCACAAGAAACTCAGAGCACGTCCGAATCAATAAAAGAATCAAATGATAATAATAAAGCGGATATTACGGCAACACATACATTATCGCCCAACCTAAAACGGCCGAATGAGACTAGCCCAAACTATAAAAATGAATCGTTACTTAATAGGGAAAACCTTAAAACCATAGAAAAGGAAATAGAAGAAGAACCAGCATATAAATTAGCACTAGCTCGACTTGATGCCAATTTGAAAAAATTTTCTAATGAAAAAAAATGTTTCATTTCGCCTGAAAATACTCCAAATAAAGAAACAAAAACTAAAAATGACTTGTCAAATTGTTCAACTGACATTGAATATTCCCCAGTAAACAAACAGGTCTTGAGAACTGATTTATCAAATTGCTCAACTGACATTAATAACAGTTTTGAAGTAGATTATAATTCAGTTAAAGACAAAAATCCAAGTCAAATAAAAAATAAAGAAGTGCAAAGTAATGTAGATGAAAACAATCTTTCTACTGATAAGTGTTTATCACCTGTAAGACATAAAGATGCAGACAGCAATAAAGTGAAAATTGAAGCTAAAGATAAAAGTGAAAAAGCATGTAATTTGGAAAGCAGACATCAGTTACCAGATAAGTCTCAAGAAAATAAGAGTAGTAATATAAGTGTTGTGTTCGAGTTTGGATTAAGTCAGTACCTGAGCAATTTGGAGCAATCGAATGAATATAAAATTTGCGACAATCAGGTAAAACAATGAATAAATTGAATTTATTTTAATCATAATAAAAATTTTCATGTTCCTTAGAATAATGAACATGTTTTAAAATCAAGTTTAGCCTGCTTTAAATCAACATACATCGAGTTGATGGAAAAATTTTGTAATATTGTTGATCAAATACCTGCGGATTTCTTTAGCAGAATCTCTGGTTTTGATATCAGTACTTTTTTAAACTTAAAAGTGCTGCGTCATAAATTCAAAGCCAAAACAAAATTATTGCAAAATAAACTAGATAAATATAAAAAAGTGGAACTATGTGAACCAAATTATGATAATGATTACTTTGATTACATAGAACAGGAGGAAGAGGAAATACGTAATAATAATGTAAAAGAATCGAATCATCATCGAAGCGCACCACTCTCAAACTATGTCAATGGTCCACCAGATGATGTAGAAGATTTAATACCAAAACATGAGTCAATGATTGAAAAAAAAAGTTGCAAGGATGTATTCAAAAATGGAAAGTATAATCAGCAAGATGAATTACGTTTGCGCGAGCAACTGGTTAATGACTTGTGTGATTATTCTGGTAATGATGACTTAGATGAATCATTTGCACCAAAATCTTTTGCTAACAATAGAAATCAGAATAATCACACTGATACATCTTATGTAGACGATAATATATTAACACACAATGAGGAAGCTGAAAGCGAAGACGAGTTAGATGAGTTAATAAAAGATATTAAAGACGAGAAAGATCTTATGACTGGTCGTAAATCTGAATATGTTAACTATTCTTATAAAGATTTTGAGCAAAAGCAAGCGCCGGCACATAAAAGAAATGTATCGAGGAATACAAGTGTCATCGATGTGGATTCAATTTCTGAAAATGTCGATGACGATGGTTGGCAAGTAAGTGTTATTAATTTATTACATTTTTACATTTTAACTCATTTCATTTTATATTTTACATTGTTTTATATATTTTTTAAAAATATAATTTTACTTTCTTTTCTTATTATTATTTTGTTAAAACATTGTAATTACAATATTCAGGTTTATGATGCTGAACAATTTGAAATAGCATTTTCACAAGCTGCAGAAAAACATAAAGCCACACATCCGAGCATTGTCGATTTATGTGATGATACACCTTCAACTAGTAACATTAAGGAAAAAATAAACATTTCTAATATCAATCAGACACCTAAAAATACTGCAAAAAATCCGAATACGTACATTTCAAAATCATCACAGAAATTTGCTGGCAATTTTTATTCTGACGTACAAAATGATGGTATAACTGGCGAATTCGATGGAACATATTCACATACAGAAAGTGTGACGGAATCATTACAATTTAATTTTGGTCTTAAAAGTTTTCGACCGAATCAAAGACAAGTTATTAATGCGACATTGTTACACAATGATTGTTTTGTTTTAATGCCAACTGGAGGTGGAAAATCATTATGCTATCAACTGCCTAGTATTTTAACAGAAGGTGTTACTATAGTAATAAGCCCTTTAAAATCACTTATTTTGGATCAAGTTAATAAAATGTCTTCTTTAGATGTATGTGCATTAATTTTTTAAACAATTTATATTTCCATATACATATTTTTCTTTTTTTTTATTTAGATTTATGCAAAATCCCTCTCTGGCGAACAATCGTTACAAGAATCTCGTGGTATTTATTGTGATTTAGAACTCAGACCACCACGTATTAAAATACTTTATGTAACTCCTGAGAAAATATCTAGTTCCTCAAAATTTCAAGTATACTTTATAATTTTTATTTAATTTATTTTGAATTATTCACTAATGATAGAAATTTGTATATAATTTCAGGATTTACTTGATTATTTGTATGAAGGAAATTATATTAGTCGTTTTGTTATTGATGAAGCACATTGTGTTTCACAGTGGGGACATGATTTTCGGCCGGATTACAAAAAACTTGGTATATTACGAAAACGTTTTCCTAAGGTACCAATTATGTTATTAACCGCCACAGCGACTCCTCGTGTGCGTCAGGATATTTTGCGACAAATGAACGTTTCAAAATGTAAATGGTTCCTTTCTAGTTTTAATCGTAGCAATCTTAAATATAGCGTCCTGCCTAAGAAAGGTGCCAAAACTATTGAAGATATGAAAGCATTTATTCGACTATATCCCGCAACCAGTAGTGGAATTATTTATTGCCTCTCGCGAAAAGAATGCGAAACTGTAGCTGATGCATTAGTAAAATCAGGTATTAAAGCAACTGCTTATCATGCAGGACTCACGGATAATATGAGAGAATCACGACAAAAAGATTGGATTATGAATAAATTACGTGTTATATGTGCCACCATTGCTTTTGGTATGGGCATAGATAAACCTGATGTACGTTTCGTCTTACATTACTCGTTGCCAAAATCCATAGAAGGTTATTATCAGGAATCAGGACGAGCTGGCCGTGATGGTGAAGTGGCACATTGTGTACTATATTACAATTACTCAGATAAATTACGGTTAAAAAAATTAGCAGATAGTAAGTTTTATTTTAATTAAAGGAATTTTGACTTATTTAAATATTTTATAATTGACTTAATTACAGTGGAAAAAAGTGTCACGTTAGATGTTAAAAAAATGCATTTAGACAATTTAAATCGTATTGTTGGTTATTGTGAAAATGTGACAGACTGTCGTCGAGCACAACAACTGGACTATTTCGGTGAACATTTCACAAGTGAACAATGCTTGGCTAATCGTGAAACTGCCTGTGATAATTGTCTTAAGCAAAAACTTTATAAGGTAAAAGTCAATATTGTTTTGATTTATAAAATAGGATATATAATACATGAGAAGATCCAAGACTCGACTAAATTTGAGTTTCTGTTGCATAGATTAGTAGACATAACATTATATCATATGCTAGAATATTATATATACAATAAATTGTTAATGTCAAAACAGGTATTCTTGTAATCTAAGAGTTAAATGAAAAGTCACGTTTTGCTCAAAAGGAATAACTTATTTAAGAAACGGTCATCTCATATTCGTGGTACACTTTTGTGGGCTGACAGCAGGACTTGCTTGATAATTAATTATACATAACCTTATGGGCGGTTTAGTTTCTGCCTATTCTTTATTGGGAACGTGTGTTATTTTCTTGATATCGGCACAGATATAATATAGGATTATTTTAAAATTATATTTTATTTACTTAACAAATATCTTACACGATTATTCATACAGTGATAAGTATTAATAGCATTACTCCGTACATTTAAAATCAACGTTTTCAGAAAATTAATGTCTTAGAGATTTGCCGAAAAATTGCACAAGCAGTTAAAGATCTATGTGGAGGACGATCGAGATTTACTTTACTCCATATGGGTATTTTTAAATCTTATTTAAAAAAATAAATATAACATTTATAACTCATTAATTTGCAGCCGATGTATTAAAAGGTTCTATGATAAAAAAAATTGTTGATTTTCGACACGATAAAACTCCATATCACGGTTATTTAAAAGATTGGGACAAGTCTGATATTCAACGCATTTTGCGAACCTTGGTTATAAAAGAATATCTCCGTGAAGATGTGATCTTTGCCATGGACATACCGCAAGCTTATATGAATTTAGGTCCAAAAATATCTAGATTAATGAATGAGGATGTCGAAATTAATTTTCATGTTATCCATAAGAAGGCTAGCAAGACACTTATTGCTACAAGTACAGACACGTTATCTAATGCGAGCACTGGACAATCAGAATTTCGTTCAATTTATGAACGATGCTATTCTGATTTATTGGATCTCTGCCGTACTATCGCAGCTGCACGCAATGTTACCATGGCTAGTATTATGAACATACAAGCTCTGAAAGCAATGGCTGAATCTTTGCCAGAAACAGAGACCGATATGCGTACAATACCTCATGTTACAAAAGCCAATTTTGATAAATATGGAGTAAAATTGCTTGAAATCACACAAGGGTATGCTGCTGAAAAATTGAGTTTAATGATGGATATGGAAGATATGACCAATTCAAATGAAGTGGAAGAAAATGATATTTCATTGCCTTTAACGAACATTATATCCAACGCCAAAAAAGGAGCAAAATCAAAGAAAGTTTTAAAATTTGACGATGATGCTGATGATTTCGCTACGGTATCACAAGGTAGCTTTAGTAGAGGTGGCAAACGGAAGAGGGTATATAGAGGCAGTTCACAAAAATACAAGAGAAGTAGAGCCAATTCTACAGGTTGGGGCGAAGCCGCAAGTAGTAGCCCGAAAAAGAGAAGTTTCAGCAAAGGCAATCGTGGCAGTAGAAATGCCGGATCAAGTTCGAGAGGAAAATCCAAAGGCAGTAATAATTCTTGGCTGGGGAAAAAAACAGGTATATATATAATACAAGTAAACCAATATTATATATAAATTTGTTTTAATACTTTTCTTTATTTATAAGGTACTACTAGTGGTTTTCAAATGATGCCTGTACCAACTTCGAAGTAAGTTTAATTTTTAGTTTTGTTTGCTATGAAAACAAATGTTTATTTATCAATTGTGTTTTAATTTGTTCGATTCTCGTTAAATCTTAATGTAATTTTAACATTTTTTAAGTACAATTTTTTTTATACAAGTAATTATACAAACACTATATAAAAATAAAATATGCTTTTAAAGTTCTACACTAATTTTAAGTAACCAATAATCAAAATCAAGTTAATTTCCAATTATTGATTAGATTGCACATAACATAAATAACACATAATGCCCTTCCTCAATTATATGATTACATAAAAATTATCTATCATCAGTAATTTAAATTTGTTCCTAATTTACAAATATCTTAATTTAATTGTCAAAATTATATACTCCCATTGACCAGATTAAACTTGTAGGTGTTTCGATTTGTACATTTTTGCTAGCATATGTATTAGAAGTGCTCACCAAACCTCCAAATTCCATACTATCATTCTCTGTTTTATAATTAAAAAATGTAAAAATGTAAGTTTGCTATTTTAATTATAAAAACTGATTGAACCTTACTCAAGTCCCATTTCAAACCAGTTGTTGTTATATTTTTGACAGCCTCTCCTATAGGCATCAATGCACACCACCGTTGCTTATTCACTAAATCGCTTGGAATTTCTATGGAATGTTTGCCGGGACGTAATAGCCATGTTAAAGAATTTCGACTAAGTAAATGCACCTTCAAATCTTTAAAACGATGAAGAGTATTTATATTACCCATAATCTGATCGAAGCGACCAGAGGTGTCATGCAGAACAACTATGTCATTTAACTAAAAAAAAAACGCAATAACTATTTAATCCAATCTAAAATATTTAATTTTTCTTACAAGTTTAGGTTGTAGCATTGGTCGTATTAATGCCAAAGCTTTTGTAAAGTCCGTATAATCCTGATCTGGAGTGTGCACTATGCGCGTTGTTTTGAAGTAATTTAATGATTCTTTGTTAATAGAATCAAAGTCGCCTGTTATTAAGTCGGGAGGTTTCATTTCTAAACCTTGACATTCTGTTTTTAGAAATTGTAGCCAATGATTTGTACCTCCATCAACAGTGCATCGAATATGCGCTAAAACAAAATGTTTTAAATATAACACATTTGCCATTGCTAATTAAAATGCGTTTGTACCTCTTTGCCAAATGCATTGTAATATATCCGGTGGTAGACTAATTTCTCTGTTTAACACAATGACACTATGGTCAATTGATGATCCTTCCAGTATCCTCTCTGGTTCCCATTTAATAGTTTTTTCTGTGCTTTTACGTTTTGTCGTTTCAGAGTGCATTCCTTCTAGAATATTAAAATGATTATAGCTGTTGCAGTGTCTTAATGCTGCATTTTCCGTTAAGGTTAAGGTTATGAATCGTAACAGCGATTTATAGGGTTGCTGCAATACAATATTTTTATGTAATTATATAAAAATAAATTTTCCATGTTTTTTGTACGGTATTTATTATTCAAAGAACAAAGAATGATATTAAAATATAATTTTAAAAATATGAGTAAAGTAAATCTACACATTATGTTTTATTATTAATTACATATTTTTAATTTAATTGTTTATAAATCTAAAACCCTTTATTATGATATGGCATTCACGTGCAATTGAAGGGAGTCTTACACATGTCAACAACAACATACAATTGCAATAATTTTGATTTTAAATTCTTGTTTTCACTTAAAAAATAATAATTACTTAGCAATTTATAAATATACCTAAGCGCCACTCACAAAAACTTCCAAATGCCTGTAATAATGTTTAAATTTAAGTAGCATATAACAGCTGACACTGAATTTTGAATAAAAACAATTAGCTCGAATTTAATCAGTTACGGAGATTATTAAACTGTTAACGCTTATGGTTGCCGCTTCCTAAATTTTGCTGTGAGTGGTAACTCTGCGGATTTTTGGTAATATTTGCAGAAAATTGAAAACATGTGAATAGTTGCATTTTTTTTTGTTTTTGTGTTATTCAAGATCATAAATAGCCGTGAATGCATTTTGTGCATATTACTCTTGTAAATATTTAGAACAGCTGATTTTTGTTTTTGTATTTGTTTACTTGTAAAATGTAATTCAGATTCGATATGCATAATTTTAACGATGCCAAGAAAAAGTGAAAAGTAGAATATATTGAATACTGTGCTAGATTTTGGTCTTGCAGAATTATTGGGTAATTTAGATTTGTGCATTTATATGTATATTATAGTACTTTCTTGGACGTGAAATAGTTGCAAAATCAAACAATTGTCAACAAAATTTGTATCATTCAAAACAGATTGGTATCGAAAATATGGTCTTGGATATTGCCTTGGAAATCAATTGCAGAATCATAAGAAAGGGATTTGTTTTTGTAAAATCAAACAATTTTGCACATGCAACGATGCACAAAGATCTTGAATACTCCTATCAGGATAAAATAAAATGATAAATTAATTCTTTCTCGGTAAAGTTGTGAAAATCAGAGCAGATGATTTTATATCTTCTATTGTATAAAAAATTAAAAAAATAACAACAAAAAGTGAAAAAAAAATGTCGAATAAAAAACAATCATTCGAATTTGGAACCTATTTAAAAACATGAACACTACAGATATCAAAATAAAGGCTACATGATATATTAAGGGATATAATTTAACCCATATCCACCCAACGTTCGATTAATCGAACAGTAAATTTTATCACATTTTATTGATTTTTTGTTTATATTAGAATACTTTAGAGTTTATATATGTCATTACTTTGAATGTATAAAGCTTTAGCTTTACAAAAATAATTGGGGCTTCACTCCACAACCCCCACCACCTATTAATTAAACTTTAAAACAAAAATTTTGACAAAAAATTCCACAAAAAGCTCCTTCAAAAATGGTACAAAGTTGCGATTACATTGCATGCGAATTTTGTCTTGCATGCCTAACCATTTATATTTTCGTGCAAACATTTATCGGTCACATCGCTTGCAAATAGACAGTTTTGCTTTGTTTGTTTTAAAAGCATCATAAGCAGTAATGACGAAATGTACTTAGCAAAAAATTCAACATTCAATTATCTTTTCAATTATCTGGAAGAACAAGGTGAATAGACGTATATGATTTATTTATAGTTTAAAATATAGTTATTATAAAGATAAATTTTTTTATTTTTATCTACATCTATCTTCGATTTAGCATGAACAAAGGAGTTTCAAACAAAATATTTTTTTAATTAAATGGTCATATGACAGAGACAATACATCGCGCGAATAGTTCTCAACATCTGTAACCACTCACATTTGCTACATTTGATTTTTTTATACTACCACGCAAAACAAAATTTGCATGCAATGTAACCGCAGCCTAAGAGTTAAGGTAATTTAATATGATGTGTTTGTGATCTCTTACACATCCTGTATCTCATTAAATATTGAAAATTAAAACCTTTCTCTTGTTAGATCTTTCGAGGTAGGTTCAAGATCTAACCTAATGACAACAATGCTTATGTTATTTTGTCAGGATACCCCATATACTACGGTTTTAGTATAACTAAACATTTCAAAAGATTTGTTCTTCTACTACATCAAAATGTAGCCCTAATTAAATTTATTTTACATTTTCAACATTTGTTTAGCTTTTAACAATTTACTTTTTATATCTTTCATGTCTTTCTATCAGAATGATATTCATCAAAACGGCTAAAATTTTTTCCATTAAAATATATACTGATTGAAAATATTTTGATGATATCAATTGTTGTTTATTACTACAAAAAATTACAAAATCTATAATATAATTTTTTAATTAATTATCCCATACTTTAAGTTTTATTTAAAATTATTTTTAAAATCACAATTATCAAACCTCCGCATATATTTGTAAAGATTTTGCAAGAAAAATGGATCTTATCGCTGGTCATTTGTCAACTTAATTACGATAGTGTAAATGTTATTTAATTGTTGTTAATTTATCGTGTCAATTTATAAAAGTTTTAATGTTTATCTATTAATATGTAAATATTTAGAATGATTCTATTAGTTTATTAGAAAATGTGCTAAACTATTGCAAAGGACGATATTTTTAGTATTTTACTTTACTATATTTCACATATAATAATTACACCAAAAAAAGGCAAAAAGCATTTCAATATTTTGTGTTGATATACCTAAAATTATTGAATATGTATATGCCAAAGATTACCATGATTGAACACACCCCACGCTATTCTTCAATCGGCAAAAATGTGAGGAAGAATTGAAAAGAATGTTGCAAATTAATTGACAGCTTGGGTTGTTGCCTGCGGTAAACAATTTTCTGAATTTTGCCAATTACATATTTGTTTTTCTGTTAAAACTAATAAATATTTTGAAAATGTGCATTGTTTACTGATATCTATAAATTATGATGGAAAATACACATATGTATTATAACAAATTAAAAAAAAATTAAATTGTGGGCATAGACAATGAAGAATGTAAAAAGCAGAACAAAATGAAGCAGAAATAAGGCAAAAAAAAAAATAAAAATTAAGCTGTGAATCGAAGATTTTCTAATTTTAATTGACTATTTGCAAATTTGAATCTCAATTTATTTGTTATGGAGGACTTAGAGCCATGGAATATGTTTACAAATGATATTGTAACAGATGCTACTGAAACAGGTAATGATAGTGTAAGCAATAAAACTATTGCCTCAAATGAAACAAAAGTAAAAGAAGAACCTGAAGATGTCGAAGAAGAAGAAGCAGAAGAAGAAACAAATCCTGTGGAGAATTATACCGAACAGGTTGTAAAAGATGAGTTGAAAACTCCACCACGTTCGAATGAAAATGAATGTGATGATGAACCTGATGATACAATTTTTAATTTTGGTTTAGAGCCACTAGTAAATATAGCAGAGTCATCTGAAAATGTGCCAATTACACCAATTGTTGAAATGAACGATAGTAGTTCCCAAAGTGAAAATGAAGTACCAATAAATTATGAAAATGCCGTAGTATATATATGCCCTGCATGTGGATCAGAATTTGACACCCAAGACGCCTGGAAACGTCATATGAATGCAATGCATAATTTTAATACTCGTCGTGGTTTGAATTTTATTCAAATTGATAAATTATATCATCAATGCCTGGAGTGTCACAAACGCATAGCAATGCATGCTATGGAAAATTTATTGAAGCACAAATTTACACATCTCCCCTATCGTTGCACCAAATGTAAAATTTGCTTAAGACAGTATAAATATCGTCAGGATTTAATGGTTCATTTGCGAATGACTCATCGGGATGATTTGGTTGCTATGGCTAAAACTGAAAAAAATCAAACCCCACTGGTAAAGCAAAGTATGCCACGTACTATACATTTGGAAATTAAGGACATCAAAGAAAATGCAGTGGACATATATGATTGTGACAATATCAAAGTAAAAAATGAATTAATTGAACCGGATGATGATGACAGTAATAATATGGCAGACAAATCTAACTCAATTATGTTGCCATCCTTTTTGGAAGATGCTCTAAGTAGAAGTTCGTCGCATGCATCAGAACGTCAGTCGGTCGCAGATGAAGACTCAAAGGAAACCAATATACAATATGTATGTTCAAAATGTGGTGTTGGATACAACACACAATCACAATGGCGGCAACATGTAGAATTTGTACATCAAGTACGAAGTTCTTCTCAACATGCATACAAACCTATGATTCGTTGTAAACTCTGTTTTCGTTCATTTATAGCTCACGAAGATGTGGTTAAGCACCTTATGAAACAACACCGTCTTAGCAGCGAGTTTGATGCAGATGAAAGTCAGACTAGAGATGGTTATGATGATACAAATACATCAGATAATATTCTTAGTGATCAATCGTCAAAAAATGATGAAAAGGATCCATTTGAACCGCACATTGATTATTTATGTCCACAATGTGGCCGAGAGTTTTTTGACAAAAAACTTTGGCGGGTGCATATTGTAAAATCACATCAACTAACTAATTTAGAAGTTCTCAATTTTAAAGTGATTAACGATAGACAGGTTATGTGCCTAGAATGTGAGAAAATTATAACAAATGCTTATGGTGTTCAGAACGCTCAACAACATCGTATTACTCATATGCCGTACAAGTCATTCATCCGTTGCAGACTTTGCGCAAAATCATACACTGATCGTAAAGGTTTGGTAAAACACTTACGGTCATCACATCGCATTGGTGCTATGCATGGCTTCGATGTTAATGCTGTAGAGCCCTCTCCATCAACATTACAACAACAAAAACCTCAGATTTCAGTTCGTGTATTGCCACAGAAAAACATTAAACCGCAAACTCCGAAAAAACCACAGAAGGAAATAGTGCGACATGCGAATTATATATATGAAATACAATACCTAGATGAAGATGATGATTGTGTGATTGATGATGCTCCTGTACCAGAACTTTCATTTAGCAATAGCATTGATCAATTAACGCGTCTAAAATGTTCAGATTGTGGTTCAATATTTTCGACACAAGAAGCTTTGCAAACACATATTAATGAAGAGCATGAATTTCTTGATTTTAACAATCTTAAACCAATGCCTGATAATACCGCAAACAGCTCGCGATCCTACTCTCGTACTTCTATGGACACATCGAACTCTTCATTTACACGTGATTCGTCTACATACAATGCGCTACCGCAGGATGAACAATCAAATGATGCTGACGATTTACTCAAACCCACAGGAGAAGAGGAGAATAATTTATCGCAAGACAGTTGGAATATAGAACGCAATTTTTGTTACTTATGTCCAGCTTGTGGAGTATTGTTCAAAGCACAGTCTGATTGGCGTCGACATATAAATAATTCACATAATTTTGATAAAAGACATTTTTTAAGTTTTAAGCAAATTGATAAATTTCGTTTTCAATGTACTATATGTAATGATATTGTATCAAGCCCAAAATTAAAAGGCTTCCAAGATCACAAATTCCGTCATTTGCCATATAAACTGTATATTAAATGTCTTATATGCGGGACTTGCTACAATCATAAACCAAATATGATCACTCATTTGAGAGTGCGTCATAATATTAACGATGGACGTTTATCGCCAATACAAAATGAACGAGAATTTGACCTAACATCACAAAATAATTTAACCAACAGATCATTAAATTTAGCACCTGCTTCGACATCCGCCGCAATTTATCCCAAACCACCAGGACTTAAAACAGTAGAAGATGCAATTTCTTATCATAATGCAGTTGATCTTGATTTCATAACATATTATTGTCCACAATGTAATGAAAATTTCAACTCGCATGTCTTCTGGCGTAAGCATATTGTTGAAGAACACGGATTCAATAGTCGTGCTGGTCTTAACTTTCGACAAATTGATCAACATCACTTTTTGTGTTTACAATGCTACAAGCGTGTAACTGTGACCCATACAAAGGGAGCTATCGGGCAACTCCAATCACATAAGTTCCGGCATTTGCCGTACAAATCTTTTAAATGTTTAACTTGCAACGGCGAGTTTGTTCGTAAACAAATGTTCTTTAAGCACCTCAATAGACAAACGAATCGATGTGATAATCAGCCAATACTGCATAATGATTTCGATGAATTCGAAAAAGCAAATACTACAGATACCGAAAATGAACAGGAACAAGTAAACGCTGATAATTTACCAAGATCCGAACACAGTGATTCTCAAAGTCCTTTCATTCTGCTCTGTCCACAGTGTGGTAAAGAGTTCGATACATGGAGGCCATGGCGCGAACACATTAATAGTGAACACAATCTAGGAAAACGAGAAGCACTCAATATAAAAAAAATAAGCCCAATATTGCATGAGTGCCTTCAATGTAATGAGCAAATAAACGGCAATAAACTAAGAGATTTACAAGGACATAAATTTAAACATTTGTCATATGGCGCTTATATACGTTGCAAATCCTGTGACGCTGCTTACTATCATTTGCGTGCAATGGAAAGACATGTCGAAAGTAAACATCCCCATATGATAGATAAGAATGATATGTATCAGAAAATGCTGGAATTGCAGCAGTATGATGATACAACCTTAAACGACACTAATGAAGCAAATGACTTTTCAGAAGTAGAAAATATACAGGATGAAACCGATAAAACAGATGATCAATTTCCTTTGGGTCAGTGTAATTTGATATCTGGATAAATCAACAATTAAATAATGATATAATTATTTTTATGTTTCCCCTAATAGAATATAAATATTCCATTCGAAATTAGTAAATAATTAAGAATATTATGTTAGTGTGTAGCGTTAATTCATAACATCATTTTTTGTTTCTTAAAATTAATCAGTCTCATTTTGAAATTATTATCTTAAATGTTTAGCGTATAAGCAAAATTATTGAATAAATGTTATTTCAATTTAATTGATCATACTTTAAAAAAAAATGATTTTACGGAAGGTGTTGAAAAAGAAAGTTTATTCTTATCCGTTTTATATGTATAGTAATAATAATTAAATTTTATTCACGCAACCTAGTCAAGTGTTATCTAGCCATCAATGAAATACTTGTGTAGAAATTATATTCCTTCTTCACTCAACATTAGCATTTGCTTACTATACGTATATATGCTTGCTGCAACTTAATATCTACATTTGCGCAACTCACGGCACAAACCAAGTATCTATTATTATATTGTTAATTGTAGAAAAATTGAATCGATCGTCGACGTTTCATCGTTTCTTTTTGTATAAGACAACAACACAGATGTTAAATATTAAAGAAATATGTATACATTGTACTGATCTTAAAATTCCCACAATACAACAATTTTGTCTTATATATCTCTACCACAGGTTGTCATCCCCCGAACTTTTGTTGCAAAATTTTCTTCTCTCCAAGTCTGCTACATCTCTCTAAAGCACTATTCCATTCCAATACACGTTAAATTATACGAATAAAGTTTTTGAATGCCATGAAAATATTTATTTAAAAGATAATTTATATAATTGTAGCGGATAACATAAGTTAAAATTTTTTCAGACACATTTTTTTTTAAAAACATTACAGTCAGAAATACTAACGAAATTTCAATTTAAATTTAAAGAATAACTACGTTTTGCGGTGATACAAAATTATAAATTACAATTGTCTTCATTTATTAGTTAATAAAATATATAGGGTTAATATATATAAATATACTAAAGAAATATATAAAATTTATTTAGACGGAAAGAAAAAAATATACTAAAGCAAAATACATTAAGGAAATTCAGCTGAATTTGGGTCTAAAGTTTCGTAATGTTCTCACAAATTTCGATTATAATTAAAATCAATATTATCAACATATAAATATATTGTTATATATGTTGATAGCAATTACCTTATATAATGAATAATTTGATTCGTATCAATCAAATAACATATAATATTTAATAGCATGCATATATAATTTTTTATACATAATCATTGCTTTGAAGACATACAATTTCAGTATGTTACTTAAACGGATTGTTGTGTTGGTCCTGTTGCCAATTCTCTGTAAGCTTCCTGCAAAGCGTGCTGTTGTTCAGCGTTCAACATAGCGGCACACGCTTGGAAAACTTCTGGGTTTGATTCTACTTGTTTCACAATATTTAACATGCGCGAGCCTACATCACTTAATGGTTCCACTACTTTAGTTGCAAATGCCTGTGCAATTATTGATACAATTCGTGGTAAATTACAATTATTCGCCCCTAGGATCACTGGATGATTGGCCTGTATTAATTCGCACATATAATTATAAACATGAGGTGCTTCATCGTTATCCTCCACAACGGGTAGCCAAGAAAACCTATTAAAAGGTGAAACATTTTTTATAAATAACGATGTTAAAAATATAATTTTTATAAAACAAATGAACAATCTGTTATAAAATCATCAAATGCGATAGATTTCACAGATCAATTATTGTGGAAACATAATGACAAAATGTGACAGTGTAGTATGTTATATAACTAGAATTGGTATTTGAATATAACTAGTTTACTGATGATAACTTTACACTAAAGTCAAAATATTGATAAAATAAAAATTATTGTGAAATTAAATTGTGATTTTTTTAATTTTATTTTTTAAAAACAATAAAAAAATTTTGACCAATTAGCCTGAAGAAAACACTTTATTATAACTGTTGGATACAAAAATTGAAGATATTTGTTTATATATATATAAAACCAATATTGTAGTGCTTTGACTATCTATGTTAATTATTTTGTCATAGGTTTATCTTCCATATTTATTGAAAAAGTAGCTACTATTACACGCAGTAGAAGTTCAATTTAATGAATAGATACTTACGTTTTCAATTGTTTAAATCGATTCTTTTAAAAAAAATTATATATACAGAATTATGATAATAAGTATTTGGCAATACGCGAAACAGCTGTATGGCCAGCCAAAAATTTAATTAATTGAAATAATCTAAAATTAATTTTTGTTGTTGTAGTTCAGTACAGTTCGAAAACCTCTTTTTAAAGATTTATGTTATTTGATATAAAAAAAAATTAATGACACAATTTGTATTCGTTACATTCGACGTCTACTGTACATAATTATATCTTAGATCGGATACAAATAGGATACATAATATGCATGTAAAATACGAGGAAAAATACCAAAACATAACATCGTCTAGATTCAGTGGGACTCTAAGGATTTAAGCAACTTTCGTTTAACATGCCCCTGTTTTAAACCCAGAAATCATTTTGACGTTTTAATAACGCAGACAATAGTGCTTTTAATGCCTATTTTAGTATCACAAAAAAAATACAAGTAGGCTATTGTTTATTGTATTTAATACGTGAAACATAATACCTCCTTTCTACATTTCTATATCGAAACATTACTAATACCCTATAGACACAAAACTTATTAATTCATTCAATTAAATCTTTTTAATATAGGTACCCCGTAACATACTATATTTATTCTCATCGACAGTTGTAGTTGTCAAAAAAATATTTCACATATTGTCAAAAAAAAGTTCAACCTTTTTTGCAATATATTATTATGACCTTAGTACGATTGACGATAGTAGTTGATCTATGTGACTAGACCTGCCGTTAAACTTCATTTTTTTTTGTATCATTTTTACGTCATCTTATTTATTCTTTAATTTTTAATATAAATTACGACTGTACGAAAAAAAAAAATAGGAAAGGAATAGGATAGTTTAAATAACTATTATTGCTTTTTATGTTATAAAAACTATATACTTTAATTACTTTCTAATTTAAATATCACATCTTAATATGAACAACATAAAATATGCCAGAGTCAAACTAAAAACTCACCAAACACTTATTATTTCGTCGATGTTATTCAAGGCGGACTTGTTATATTTAAGAATTTTTGTGACAGCTGAAATCGCATTTTCCGTTGGATTAATATTTTCCGTTTCACGGCTTTTTGGGTCGTTTATAACTTGTACCAGCAAAGGAATGGTCTGAGCACATGTTACAGCAAATTGTTCGCCACCAAACTAATGTATAGAACGAAAACATATTTAGAGATAAGTTTTTAATAAATGAAAAATTATAATATGAATAATTTTAACTAGGTAGTACCTGTCCCAATACACCACAACCGTAGGTAGCAGCCTGACGCACTTCGGGTGTTTTGTCCAATACATATTGTAGTAGAGCTGGTGTAAATATTTGTTGATATGGGGCTGAGTCCGGTCCACAAAATTCTATTATGTATGTATATTACATATATTAAAAATAAAATATAAATATTTTATATATATAAAGCATACCTATAACATCGTCAAATACACAAACACCCCATTGTCTATCAGACCAACATCTAGATGGTTCTAGCAACTTTATGAAGTGTGTCGCCACTTGATCAAAGTATGGCAGAAATTGTGCATTATATGTTACAAACAGTGCATGTATAATATCCACAACTTTTGATAATAAAAATGTATCGGTATCACCTTGCTCAGCTAATTCTTCTTCAACACCATCATCATAATCTTCCTCATTGCGAGCCAATAAACGTTTGCCAGCACGTTCGAAGTGTTCATCCATGAATTTGGAAATAAACTCTAAAACTTGTTTCATGTCATCATCACTAAGACAATTACGACCTAAAGTTTCAATACATCTAGCCAATGAATTAAGTAATTCAGATTGTACGTCTGCTTCAGGTTCTGTGCCAATTACTTTGAGCAATTCCGGACATATATAATTCCACATACCCTCCAAATATTGTGGACCTTTAATTTTTGCACATTCTAATAAGTATGGTAAAGATTCAGCTGCAGCTGATCGTACACCATCATGGAAATAGAATTTGAGCATGGGCACCATTAGACGTACCACTTCCTCGGCATAGTCAGCAAAACCTTCTTTTAGTTCACGTGCATAACATACTAACATATCACATGCCGATGCCTTATCTTCCATACCAGCAGTACGTATTGCGAAATTTTGCTGTTCGCCTAAATTGATAAATGACCAATCAACATCTCCTGGAAATATTTAACAAAAATATATTTGAATATAAATCTTATATTATATATGATTGATTCTAATTTTATGATTTATACCTTCAATATCCTCTACTTCCTCGTTGTCCAATAAAGCTACTTCGGGTTTCATTGCTGCTGTTCGCATTACTGGACCCATTACTAATGGCAAATATTGTTCAAATTGTTTGCCAAGTATTTTACACATACGCGCCCAAGCAGTTATTAAATATGAAGTTTGAGGATCATCATCAGGCAAATCGCCTTCAGTATGTGTTTTTAGCAGCATATCCATAACATCACCTGCATCTGTGATAAATTTCTCCCGACCAACAGCCAAACCAATCAAACTCACGCACTCAATTGTTTTACCACGCAACATACGCAAATCTTCGGCGTTTGCATTCTGTATTATAAACTTTAGACATGGCATTAAACGATCATAATAAGCAACAAATTCCTTTTCACAAGTATCAGCAACCGATGCAATTGTTGTCACTACTTGCTCTAGCACTAATTTGTTACCCTTTTCCACCAATTCTTTGAATTTAGAATTTAGTATGGTTTCCAATTTCAGCATTATACCATCAAGGTAACGTGTCAAAATATGTTTTGGACAATCCTCGGAGAAGTTCACTAGGGCAGCACCTGCATGAGCTTGCACACGTGGATGGCGCACATCATCCAATAAAGAGAGTAATCCAGGAATTACCTATAAACCAAAAAATATTTATTATATTAAAATGTATCCCTCCTAATATTATATCTGAAAATATTGAAAATAAAACACTGACTTGTTCATGGAATTTCTTCTCAAAGGTAGGTGCAAAATCTGTTGACATTTGTCCAATAGCATTGCAAGCAGCATAACGTACACGTGGATGGGGATCGCGTAAGAAATTTAAAACGCCTGACATAATTTGATCTAGCATAGTCTCCATTTGTTTGTGACAACCTTCACCAATAGCAGAAATTGCCATTAAAGCGGCGTACCGTTGTTTCCAATCAGCATGAGCTAACATGGAAGGCAATACAGCCATAACCTGTGGTAGAACTGTTTTACCACCTAAACCACATGCCAAACGATCCAAAGAAGCTTCAGCAATAACGTTATTATCGCTGTTATCTTCGTCAATAACAACATCAGATATGGCCCATTCTTCATCGTCATCCATGTCAGTCATCATTTGTAGTACAAGTGGTATAAGCGCAGTTACATATTTATCAGCACGTTTCCGTACCATTGCAGCAGCATTTTCTGATAGTGAGACCATAACCTCAAGTACTAAATGTCGCCAGGTATCTTCAATATCGGGGGAACTAAATACCTAAGTAATTAAAAGAAAATGTAATATGTGTGTAAATGAATTATAATGTTTTATACCTTCATGCACATCTCAAATATGACTTCCAATTGACCGCGTAAAAACTTTGGACATGTTTCCGTCATATCAATCAATAATTTCAACAAGCTTTGATCATCTTGTGCTTCTATACTCTCTGCTGTTATCAATATCATACGAGGTAATAGATCCGAAAATTGTTTAAACACAATAGCCTCCTTTTCCTTGTCGTGTTGCAATATAAATGCACCTACCGCCCTTACAGCTTGAAACCTCACTTCAACATCAGCTGTCGGTTCTAAACTCTTTGCTAACATTTGTTTAATTAGTTCAAGGTAATTTTGTTCCTGATTGCCAAAAGCTGATGGTACGCTGGCAAATATCCGTAAAGCGGATTCTTGCAGTTGTGCTGATGGTGAATTTGCACACTGAAACAGAAACTGCAGAAAATCTGGCCACTGATTATTTCCATCCTCATCGATAAGATTGCGTGCTACTTCTGCAACTACTTCACATATTTTCCGACGTAAATTTGGTGTAACTTCTTGCTGAACACCAAGCAAGATCTGTTGTAAAAATTGGGCCTGTGATTCTTGTGGTAGCTAACAGGGAGAAAAACGTATTATATACCATTATGCATTCTATATTTAATGAAAATTTATTAAAATATTAGATTATTAAAAAATTATATCTTATAATTATATTGTGTTATCGCTGCTCTTCAGTCATTGATGTTATTTTACAGATATCATGCATGATGAAAAATAAATTTTATTAACTCTAGCTGTAGTATAATCTTTTGCAGATGTAATAGATATGGTACCTATTTTTATATTTCAGGAGGCTCTCCTCGGCCTCCGAAACAATTCACTACCTATTATTAAGATAGCAATAGTCATGGGGATGTACTACTTATTATTAAGATAACAATACTTATGGGGATATATAAAATGAAAATATAGATGAAGTAAACAGATGATTATAAAAAAGAGAAGTAGTCAAAAAATATGAAACCGAATAATAAACAGTTAAATATAAATAAGATAAAATACGCTGAAAGTGTTCGGATCAATTAAAAACATGAAACAAGAAAAAGCATATCAGGATTGATATGACAATGGTTAGATTAATAATTAAAAATATTTTGACATCATGAAATTTCATTATGCAAACAATATTACATAGTATACAATAAGGGTTTTGAAACGAACATTTAATAGATTAGTAATCAAAAATCCATTTTTGTTGCAACAGCTGACAATGAAAAATATCATAAAGATATACAAAACTTGAATCACTGCATTTCAGGTAAGATTGACAGTTCCTCTCAATCAAATCTGCCGCAGTCGTGGAAAGAAAAATAAAAGTCCCCCTCATCTGCTTTGTTTGTATCCGGAACATGCGCGGCGCCGCCTTACTACTTTAGAGGCTTTCTTTTTTGAGGATCTTAGTCGACTGCAAGACATCTCTTTGAATAGCAAAGCTTATCTTTGCCAAAGGTTCAAAATGGTTCTAAACAATGGGCCTAAGTTAATCTTTTAGAATCGCTGGTATAACCTATCTACCTATCCTATTATTTCTGGATCACCAGAAATAAAATACATAAAACGGGATACTGTACAAAAAAGCTTTTAAAATCATGTGGCTGTATTTGCAAATATTCTTTTGTCGATAAAAATGAACTAAATTTCCAGTCACCTATTAAATGTATTGTCACTAGAGACCAAGCGTGCCCGCAAAGGTGTAGGGATGTGAGAAATTTTATATCGATAACTAAAAGCAATATAAACTATATTTTAAAACATTACTGATAATAGGTATTTGGCAGTATCTGAAACAGGTATGTAATATGTAATCCATAAATATTAATTAAATTAAAAACAATTTTTGTAATAAAGCCATATTTACTATATCTACTAACATCAAGACAATAATATATACCTCATGTCTTCGTAAATATAATTTTTTTAAAAATCTAATTTGAATGCTGGGAAAATCAAACCACATAGATTAATTTATAAATAATTAACTATACGTAGTTATTTAAATATAAACACATAAATCAATGTTAAATCTGAGAAAACATTTACTAATTTTTAATAGCTTTTTAGGAAACTGCGCCGACAAAAAGCAGTCTGAAGCTTAAAATCGTTTTGTGATAGAAAAGAGGCGGAGGAGGGAATGATTATACCTTTTGAATTTGACGTAACGAAAATTGAGACCTTTTAAGACCCATAGCAAGAGCTGCGTATCTATGCACTACAGTACACAAAAGTTTTATATGTTTAAACAAAACATAATAAATTTCAAGGCTCAAGTTTTAAGCCTTCAGAAACGTATAACTGAAAACAGTCTCAAGCTACACCGAATGTGAAAATGTATTGGTTCATACCACAAATTTTTGTAACATTGATATTGTATCTGGTTTTATTAATTTTATAATATGAAATAGTATTTGAAATAGAAAGGATGTTACAATTTGAAGAAATTCAGAATCAACATAGTTCTAAAGGCATAAAATTGGAAGCGGTAAATTAAATTTGCTGTTGGAACAATATATAAATATCAGGAGTTTTTAAATTCTATATTGTAGAAATAGTGCTGCCTGGTAATATTTTACGCTCTGGGTCATTGTTATGATTTAGACAGAACTACACAAATTAAATATCTAAGGTTTAAGCATACACAGGGGCAAATTTGCTCTTGTTGCAAATCTGCTTTAATTTTTTTTCGTAAATAGACAAACTTGATATTAACCCAAAAAACTTTCAAATAATACACTTAAGGAAAGGATGAAGAGAAAAATGAATAAATTTTCACAAATCCAGAGGAACTAGGCAGCATTGTTAAAAATTATATATACTCAAGAGCAAACTACTCAAGCTGATCACAAATGTAAATGGTAAAAAGCAAATACGGCCCCTGGTACTGAAACCTAAATAAAACTTTTATAGTTCCAAAGTCCTAAGACGGGAAAATAAATCTTTTTGATAGAGGATAAATGTGAGGCTTCAGATATATAGCAAAACTCGGAGTAGATTGCTCTATCAAAAGCTGCGCCAAATGAAGAACTAACGTGCATATATCTCGGAATTGTAAACCTTTCACAAAAAAATTTAAACAACCTTAAAAATATAGTCCATCAAACTAAAGGCGTAATCTTTTGTAAGCATGCTGTAAAAAATTAATATAATATAAGCAACACAGAGTTAGAAACACTCGAAATGCTGTCAAATATATATCGTTTTACTAACAGGGAGATTTCAAATATTCAAGTACTGATATTTGCACAGCACGGAATAAATTGAGAAAAATAAAACGAATAATTCCATTAATTTGTTGACAATCCTGCGTTAAGAGCTTCTTATCGGTTAAGCGTTTTCAATGAATTTGGATTAAATAGGCCAGCTTTGTTGTTGTTTTAAATGCCATTTTTAAAATAATCTATTGTAATCTACTTATAAAAGCTTACACTTCATATTATTTATTTAGGATGGATGTCAATCACTACCCCAGAAAATGTTTCAACATAAAGATCCATCGTTTTTCAATTAGTTGATACAAGAATAAATTACAACTAAATAACAAATATACCACTCTGGAAAAGATTAATATGATTCATATTTAATAGTAGCTAAAATAAAAAGGGTCCAGCTTTTGTGTTTATTATGATCGTCCTTTAAATTTTTCTAGATATCCAACTAACTCCTTCACTTTATCATTTTCAATAGTTGTTCTATGGACGATAAAGTCGCTAGTTGTCGTTTTGAACGCTTTCTTTCTGAATTTTTAGTGAAATTTATTGCTTCACTGCGATTCTTTTTTTGTATAAAAGGGACAACAAATATATAGAGTCGACTATAAAATTTATGAAACATAAAAAAACTTTTTGTACCAACAATATTTATTGATTGTTGAAGGTGAATGTAATTTTCAAATGCTCCAAGCGAGAATTTAACTCTATTCTAACCTATACTGATTGAGCAAATCTAAGATTTTTGTATGCGTTAAAGCATTCCGTTTTATAACATTAATTTTGAAGAAATGGTTAGAAAACGGGGAAGTGGTTGTTTTGTTTGCATAATTTAATTTGGTAACAGTATAGGACCGATTTGCATTGATTAATATTTTACATTAAAATCACGAGCTACAATATGTGCTCTAATCCTTTTACATATATTACCCACCATAGGTTGCAGAATCGGCACAGAATCTTTCGCCTTACGTTAGACTTGATATTTGTTAAATTTTGATTTGAGTTTCCATTAGCGAGGCAAGAACTATTTGTTTGCTTCGGGAATCCGCTGGTCTGTGGCAAAAGAAAAAAAATATACTGCTCAACTCAATATGCATAAACACATATAAAGAGAATAAATCTTAGTGAAATATTTCTTAAAATACTGTTTTACATCTAATCAAAAACAATCTACGTATGGAACACATATGTAAGTATGTATAATAATCAGAAGATATTTTATTGTTTAAGCGAGGTTATTGGAAAAATTTACAGAAATATTATTGCAACATTTATATATATTTGGGGTCTCTAATGCTATGAAATGATAAAAACATAAGGAATACTGCATTTCTTTTGGTAATAAACATTTTATGATTTTTTTATGTTTGTCACAAGAGGTGATTAAAATTGTGATCTAGCCAAGGATTTAGTATTTTTAGGTCTTTAAGTTGGTAATTGTATGGAGTTAAAAGCACTCCATTGAAAAGTATGTAAACTCACGCTGTCATTGCAAACAATTAAACTTAATAAATTAATAAATGAAATAAAATATATCCACTATCATTTGTAGTGAGCCCATCTAGAAATGACAATTAGACGAATAAAAGAAGAGTTACTACGTGTGAAGTGAGAGTATGTTTCTGTTATCAGTACAAAACTGGGCGCAGAACTAAGAAAGTTTCGTTTTAAAGCAAGTAAAATTTTATCGAAGCTTAGTGATTAAAGTAATGAAAGGTGAATTGAACATCAAAAATCATTATTTTTAGCATTTCAACCGATCTTATTGGCTAAAATGTGAACATAGTTTGCAGTCAAAAGATATCTAAATAGCAAAAATTGCTTTGAATTCAACATCTGAACGATAGCATTAGATTATGATCAAGAAATCAAGCGCAGGGAAAGTTATCAGGAGCAAAAACACAAAAAGATCTTGTTTGGATAACTCAAAAGTGATGAAAATACAAAGCCTTTGTTCTACTAGACTAAATCATTCATAGATACTTCTGCGTTAGATTTTGTTCGTCACATTCCATACGACATTTATCTATTCGAAACAATGCATTAACCAATGGATGTACTGTGTTTTGTAGATATTGAATCCACCCAAAGGACTCATATCGACTCTGTAACCGATAATATAGAAAATATTGTCTCATATATATATAGAACACAAAAAGGAACGATCTGCTTCAATTCTCTGGTTCTAAACCAAAAACTAAGAAAGGCTTACGCAATTTTTCTTCGCTCTCCTGATATTGAACCGTATGGATATCTTTTAAAAAATTAAAATTTTTGATAATGCAAGTTTGATCTTAGTACTTCTGTCCTATAAGTGTTAATGATGGTATAATTTTCCTGTGCTCTTATCAAGGTTTAATTGAAATTACAACAAACTCCGTACATAAAGAAATTGTTTAATAATACATATTAGTATATTTCGATTATCTACAATTTCAAAAATATTAGTTCCAGATGTGAAGACAAAAATGTTTTAGCTCTCGTGGCCAATTTAGAATAGATTAAAATTCCAATAAATAAAAAATACTGTGGTTTAATCTACGTGTTTGTATTTTCCAACAATATAAATATTATAACTTAATAAGTTCAGTCGTTTTTCAGCTAGAATGTAATAAAATGTTGTTACTATAATTTAAAAATGTCTTCGCAGATAGAAAGTTATTTAATTGACTGTTAACCATGCAGGATTAAATATAATGTAAGCTCAGCACATTATTATACAAACATATTTTATAGAAATATTAAATATTAACTACATTTAAGTCGAATCTTTTAGCAATATATGCGATACAATATCGTGTATTTACCTCTTTATAAAAGTCCAAAAATTCTGATGTAAATAGCCGTCGTAAAAGCACAGCTGCCATCTGTCGGTGGTCCTCTGCTTGCTGACCATTGTGGATACTGCCTAGTAAATGAGTAACTTTCACCGCTCTTGGTAACTCATTGTAGGCATCCTTTGAAATAAATATATGAAAGGAATATTTAATTTAAATCTAATAAAATTAATCAGCTATTAAATGATTTACATAAATTTTGTTTTGCTTTAATTATCAAGGTCATACAAAATCAAGGTAGGTGGGGGTAACATTACTTGTTGGCACGCGCGCCTCGTAACATCGCATTAAAATCAATATAAGTAATTTATTATGATAGATAAGGTATAAACTAGAAAATTACTGAAAATGCACTTTCACCGAAAATGCGTCATTAGTAAAATTATTAAATCATCACAATTTGCTTTTATTTCCGTTTTGTGATTCAAATTCTGATGAGTAAAATTTATAGGCGCAGCCAATTTGCACAAAAAGAAAAAAACAGAAAAGAAAAACATATAAAGCTGATGTGCAAAAATTTCTTCCATTTTCTTTTCTATAATTTTTCAGGTATATTTATTTAGCAGTTGCACACGTTATTTGAACGTAAAAGAATATAAAGAAAAATAATAAGAAGACGAACAAAAAACACGTTTTATTCATCAATTAAATTAGGAGATTAAATATTTAAATAGAATGTGTAATATATATTTATATAATAATAAAATACAGAAGTGAGCAAATATTCATTGCTTTATTCTTTATTGGAATTTTTAAGCTTGTATACGGCTCACCTTTGATTTTTATATTTATATATTCCTTACCTCTGCTTGTTGGCGGACATCATTATCGGT